CTGGGATTTGAGAAGTAGCTCTGAATTTCAGATTGTGCCTCTGGTTTCTGAAATGTTGTCACTTTGGAGAGGCAAGATAAGAACTGGTGTCCTGGAAACTCCTTTGGATTCTAAACTCCTCTGAGTAGGTTGTTTGGCATTTGCTGTTAGCTTTGATGCTGCTGCCAGTGCTGAGCCAGGTGGCGGCCCGGGCCTGATGCAATCCACCTCAGGGTGCAATCCACCTCAGCGCCTAGTGGATCAAGGCGTTTGGATGTTGCTGAGGGGTGCAGGGCCTGTCAGCAGCATCAGCCTGGCTTTGCAAGGTGTGGGGTGAAATCCACCCCAGCACTTAACCAAGCGGGGTCGTCTGGTGCTGCTGATTTGCATCTGTAAATAATTATTTACTCAGAAGAAAGCCACACTGAGTTCAGTGGGCCTTACCCCCAGGTAAGGGTGTGTGGGGCTATAGTGTTTTATCTAGGCAGCCAGGCTCCTCCGCATGACAAGATCTTTTTGCACCAGGTCAGTGAAGACCACTTGCTTTTTAAAATTCTCCCATATATACAGAACTCCCTGTGCGCCTTTGGACTGTATCTGTAGGTTTCCCCCTCTGTGTCAAATAAGTGTTGTTTACTTTTTATAATGCATGGATCTCCCTCAGGAGGTTCTGGACTCTCCTTCCTTGGAGGTTTCTAAGCAGAGGTTGGCTGGCCATCTGTCATGGATGCTTTAGCAGAATTTCCTACATTGCAGGAGGTTGGGCTAGAAAGATGACCCTTGGGGGCCCTCCCAGCTCTATTAGTCTCTGTTTTTCTGCTTCAACAATATTTCATTATGTTCCTATCATTTTATGTAATTGTATTTTGTATACATTATACAAAATATAAATAAAACATGTTCTAGTTACAAACAAAACATTTAAATAGCTACCTTTCGACTGGTACAACAGCAGGGCATGAGCATAGCCAGGATTTTTGTTAGGGGGCAGGCTTTTGTTAGGGGAGGCAGAAGCTCAGATTTATATTGATTTTTACTTATTTGGGGGGCACATGCCCCTTGCCTTCCGTGGCTACGCCTGGGGCAGGGGCACAGGAAGGAAACAAAGTTGGTAGGGGGCTACGGTTGGAAAAAGGTTGGGAAACACTGCCTTACAGGACCTTAGTTGCAGCTGGTGTGCTTCAATTACTGTATGGGGTTGTATTGGGGACAAACAATGGGAGCAAGGCTGGCTCTTCCATGAGGTAGACTGAGGCAGCTGCCTCAGGCAGTGGAATCCAAGGGGTGCCTCTGTCGTCCCCCGTCCCCCCTGCTTCTGCTGGAGAAGTGGCTGTGGCTGCTTCTGGTGAGATCTTGTGAGAGCCTGAGAGATCTTGCTGGAACCCGGAAGGCATAGCTGCATAACCATGGATAGTGAAGCCTCAACAGGGGTGGTGGGCAACATGCACACACAGGGCAGCACCTTCCCATTTTGCCTCAGGTGGCGAAATGGGCCGGGACACCCCTGAATGGGAGACAGCCTCATCATCATACATCTGCTTGTGAGCATCTCAAGGTGTCTCCCAGAAGAGGTATTGCCCATTGTTCTGCCAGAGGTATTTCAGTCAGGCACAAGCACCTGAAGAGGGCGTAGAGCAAGACCACTGAGGGGAACGGCCTAAGGACCCAAGGGCCAGAGATTTCCCCCTACTTCCTTGAATGAAAAGCAGCAGCTTAGCACAGGAATGCTTTATTATGTAAGGCAGGAACTCCAGTAGCCAGTTGGGGATTGCAGTCTAGCTTCAATTTCTTATAGCATCAGAAGATTTGTGTAGCATTTATGTGGGTTTTCTGAGAGCGCTCCAAGTATCAACCCATCTGCCCCAGAAAAAAATGCATAATGGTATTGTGTTTAAAACAAACACACACTAGCTGGCGTGGAATCTGGACCCCCCCCCACCAAAACCAATTTTGTATTTTTGTTAAACTAGATTCTTAATTCTCTTTCAAACCCTAACTCTAACCCTAAACTTCTGTCAATTCTCAATTATTCAGCTAATGCTTCTTTTACGGTATTTGTTGAGAGCCTTCATTTTATAGGTATATTCTCATAACCCTGAACCCTAAGAATGTTGCAAATGTGTGTGTGTTTGAGAGAGAGAGAACTAAGCTTTAAGTTCATATAAATTTATAACTGTTTTTTAAAAGGAAAAAATATTCACAAAACTACCAATTTTAAAACATTTAAAACAAGCACCATTCAAAATACTGTAATCTAAAAAGTATCTAGCACTAAAATAGCCCATTATAAACTCAACATGCTGTTAACAAGCCACCTTCTCCATCTCTGCAGCGCAATTTGCATCAGGCACTAAAACCGTGGGGGGAGGAGGGGGGGACAGGTGAATTCCATAAGTGTAGGGCCACCTTCATGTTCCATGACCTTTTTATTCACCTAGACTTTTTAATTGTGTTTTAAATCTGGGCTGGTGTAACAAGTTTTTTGCTTTTATTGTATTTAGCATGATATATTGTATTTGCAAGCTGCCCAGAGAATATGTATTGGTGAGCAACTATATAAATTCAGTAAATAACTTAAAAAATAAATCATGGAGTTTCCCAGCCCTGACTTTGCATTATAATGTTGAGGGCAGCATGCGCAAGAGGAAACTCAGCAGACAGGGAGGGTGCTTTATCCTTTTTGTGTCTAATAAAAAGGTAAAGGTACCCCTGCCCGTACGGGACCAGTCTTGACAGACTCTAGGGTTGTGCGCCCATCTCACTCAAGAGGCCGGGGGCCAGCGCTGTCCGGAGACACTTCCGGGTCACGTGGTCAGCGTGACAAGCTGCATCTGGCGAGCCAGCGCAGCACACGGAAACGCCGTTTACCTTCCCGCCAGTAAGCGGTCCCTATTTATCTACTTGCACCCGGGGGTGCTTTCGAACTGCTAGGTTGGCAGGCGCTGGGACCGAGCAACGGGAGCGCACCCCGCCGCGGGGATTCGAACCGCCGACCTTTCGATTGGCAAGCCCTAGGCGCTGAGGCTTTTACCCACAGCGCCACCCGCGTCCCTTTTTTGTGTGTCTAATACTCCCTTGCAAATACCTCATGGCATGCTTTATTCATTTTTGCCTAGGTACACTCAGACCCTCCCGGGGGGGGGGGATTTAGACAGGAAATTTTCTGGGCATAGATAGGGTTCAAGACTCACCCAACCACTCTTTCTTACCTACAAGTGCCCCTCTGCCCCCATGTTTTCATTATCTGTGCAGATGTGGATTGGGGACCAAGCAATGCAAGGTAATGTGTGGCTCTAGTCTCAAGACAGTGAATGAAGGGATGCATAGTTTATTATATGCTCCTACAAATGCCCTCAATTGGGGAAAGCAGCTATTTATTTGGTCAACTTGCTCATATCCTATTCTTGCTGATTCTGTGCCTCATGCTGTTCCTTCAGTACCTCTTCTCCTTGGTGAGATCCTTTCCAAGACCCTTGCTGCAAGCAGAACAAGGGGATGGACATGCTTGTTTCTCCTGATCCTGGCCCCTACCCTCTGTTTGGCAAGATGTAGGGTTTTCCTAGTAATTAGGGCAGGCTTCCTCAACCTTGACCCTCCAGATCTTTTGGGACTACAATTCCCATCATCCCTGACCACTGGTCCTGCTAGCTAGGGATCATGGGAGTTGTAGGCCAAAAACATCTGGAGGGCCGAGGTTGAGGAAGCCTGAATTAGGGTTTGAAGTTTGGGATAGGAGTAGGAGAATGAGAATGGGAGGGTAAAGAGCTGGAGCCCTGGTGTTACTAGTGTTACTAATGAGATTCCATGTTATAAGTAGATCTGGCTGACCTGTGTACAGATACTACAGTACTGGTTGTCAGCAAGCTACAAATAAGTTACAGCCCAAAACTTCAGGGAAAGAGCCTGGATGGAACCCCAAAAGCAGCATGTTCAGAAGGCAAATGGGCAATGGGCTTTTGCACATTCTTAGGCATGACTGTCTCTCTTGCTGGAGGGGTCTAAGCAGAGGCTAAATTAGCTGTTATCTAGGAAGGCATTTCATTCTGCACTATATAGACCTTGCATTGAAGAGGTGGCAGGACTAGATGACCTCAGGAGATGCCTTCCAACTCAGCATTTAGCTGCATGAGTTATGGGATTATGTTTATGGTTTTCACAAATGTGGTGGCTGCAACAGCTTCCCCATTCCTTCCTTGTTTTATTTATTCTGTAACTTAAAATAACTTGAGTTATGCTAAACTTTTTAATATTTAGAAACCAGGTTTGAAAAACAAGCAGCTCTGGCTTTTTTTGTACTAGCTTTTTACTAGCTTTATCATCTCTTTAAAGTTAGTGACAGTTTAACTGCACGCTAGGTGAAGAAGTATACTTTGTCTGTCCTGAATCTCCCAACATTCAGCTTTGCTTGATGACCTTGGACTCTAGATTTGAGATAGAGGAGCACGCTCTACACATCATGAGTACTTTCCCCCTGTCTATTAGGTTCCCAAACCTTTTTTATTAGAAGCTCCAAACTTTGACTTTCCCTTTTTAAGGGCACTGTTCCAGCCTCTTGATCATTTCTGTGCAAACATTTCAGTTTGCCTGCCATATGGAATGATCCCATTCGCCTCTAAGGGTTCTCCTAATCTTCTCCAAAGCCAACTGTGAGGTAGGAGGGAAGCCCCATTGGGCAACCAGAAGTCTTTGCACAGGGCTTCTGCTGACAGGGCTCATTAGAGCCTCCTTGCATATTTGCACAAATGGTTTGAGAATATTTTAAGGAAACGTCAAAACATGGAATACTCCTGGCATGCAGCCCCTTGGAAGGTAGCCCATGAAGGAATATGACCCTTGGGATGAAAAAAGATTCCTTGCCCCCGCCATGAGGCATTGGAGCAGGTGGATAATTCAGTTGGTCCTGGATGAATGTGACTTAACAGCTACCATGTTTTGAGGGCAGAAGGAGCGGAATCATATGTTTATGCAATTGCCAAAACCAGGGATGAAACCAGGAAGCAAGCAGAGGGCAGGAGGCAAACTTGGAAGATTTTATACTCATTTAATTAATGTCAATGTAGTTTACAAACGGGAATGACAAGTACCTTTTTATAGAATATACATCGACACACAATCATAGACACAACTTGAATATCACCTTGTGCAGCTGGGAATCTTTGGGCAAAGATAGTTCATTTCTTTTTAAGCTTTTTGAGGACGAAGTCACAGAGTTTTGCAAAATGTGCCTCGCTCCAGAGGAGGTAACAAGTCCTTGTATCTTCCCATCAGGTCTTCTCTCCCCTCCCTACCCTCTCAAGAAAAAAAGCAGGGACAAATCAACTTTAAAAATAAAGCCTACTAGTTATATGTGGTTTATATATATTCATTTGGCTTAGTGGTGGTCCACAGGACCAGAGAAAGCTCATTGTTCCCAGACTGGGAAATCAAAAATGAGCTGCCTCAGCACTGCCTATTCTGAAACAGATCTGGGAGAAATATAGCTCTGTCCTAAATGCCTGAGCAGAGATTGCTTGTACAAGGTGAGCAGGTATGGGTGCAATTCAGACATCCCCACCATGACAAATTTCATTTGATTGCCTTTAGGAAGGCTTAAGTGCTATACCAGTGGAGGAAGCCCCATCGTGAGCAAAGGCAGTTGCTGAAACTTTGTGCCTTTTGCAAACTATTGCTACCTATTTGTGTTTCTCCTGCTAATACAGGCTGCAGATGGTCGTTCCTCAGACTCGTTCCTATGTAGCAGCAGTCAGAAACACTTGTAGTTTGAGTGAGACATAGCAGTTCAGAAGTTCTTTGGACACAATGGAAGCTTAGAATTTTGCGGTCGTAGCCACTATGGTGCCTGCCAGCTGCTAGGAGACTGCCAACTCACATCAGCCCCAGCCAACATGGCCAATGGTTAGGGATATTTGGAGTTGTAGTCCCAATATCTGGAGGGCACCATATTGGCTGTGCCTGCTCAAAGGGTATGAAACTATTTCCCACTAGACAATAGTGTGTGTTGAACAGGGTGAAGTCAAACAGCAAGACTCTGCTGATAATAGCCATTTCCAGCTTGCATTCAGTAGACAGCAGTAGCACATCATCAGCCAAATTGCAACAGGAATATGGAATCCTGTACTGCAAAATACAACTCTCTTGTGGTACAAGTCTCAATCATATAAAACCAATCCTTTTGACAACAGCATGACTGACGATAGCCAGATGTTTTAGTGCAACCATGACTTTCTAGTGCTTAAGTCACAGATTAGAGAAAAAGAACAAAATACCTTGCAGGATATCCCAGAGCAGCAGTCTGCCTCAGTTTAAAAGGTGATTCATGACAGGGACATTTGCCTACCCAAATTATTGCCAAGCAAAGTGCCTGCTTCCCCTTTCAAGCTTCCGGCAACCCTGTAAAATTTCCCTCGGGTGGAATGCAGGCGGCTTGTTTGGCTATGTATTTAAAAATGTCAGTTGCTTGTTTCTGATTAAGGCAGGTAGTAAGCAGAATATACGTGAGCCACAGCTGGAGATATTTTCAAAAGCAGAACAGGGGTCTGAGTAAAAGGTTGATGTCAGGAACGCTGCAGAAACAGGCGAAGAGGGAATAACTGAATCCAACCTTGTGTGGACCTGCCTGGGTTGAGTTCCACTATTGCCACAGTACAAGTAGGAGAGATAACAGGAGGAAACGAAACCAGTGTCACAAAAAGCCAACACATACCCCACTTTCTTTTCTCTTCAAAACTGGAACTTGATGTTTTACTGGACCTGAACCTCTGGAAAACTAGGACATCATGCTGCACCTGCATGGAAAAGCATTTCACAGCAAGGCAGACTGGCAGTGGCTGGGCATGGCAAAACAGTATGCCAGAGTGATACAGAACCTGCCTGACTAGTGAAACACATAACCTTTCATGAGGAAGTAGAATGGAGGAAGTGCTAGAGTACTTCCTGCGCCCCCACCCCACCCCCGTTCAGATACTGCATGGCTAGAATATGGTGTTTTTTCAGCTGTTTTTGCATTTACTCTTGCATCACAGGAAGGGCCACAGAGCAGGTGCAGAGGCGGGTGAATACAATATTCTTGAACTAAAGAGGACTTCAGCTTTTAAGAGATAAACTTACAGCCCTGAATTCTGATAACCACCACTGCCAACCTATTTTTTGCTCCTCTGTCTTCATGTAAACTTCTGTCCTTTTCCCAGCTGGCAATGGGGTAAAGCCTTGTAAGCCTGATCTGCAAGTTTCTTGCCTTCCCCTCAGTGAAAAATTAAAACTGTTTCAGTGTGATAAAAGATTTGATAAAAAGAGCCCATTAGCTACTTTTCCCTACTTCCCCCAGAAGTTGTGTTACGGGCAAAAACTACAGCTGTTACTAGAAGCTGTTAACGTCATATCTGAATGAGGAAATATACACCACAGAACATTAAACCATTTATATTATATATATGTATAATATATATATATATTTATATTTCTTTTAAACTAATGACTTTAATGCCAAAACTTTGTAGAACCAAGAAAAATATGGGTTTAATGTTCTCTGCTTATTTTTTTCTCTTTTTTAAAAAAAGTACAACCCAAGAACAAAGGAAAAAATAAAAGGGAAACATATTAGTATGTAATGTTGGAGTCTATCCCATTTATACACAACATTGTAAACATATAGTCTATATTACATGTGCTTCATTCTGCCTTTGTGGGTTTGCAAGTGTAGGCTCTCTCTTTCTCTCTGACTTCTAAAAAAAACACTAGAACACCACAAAAAGGGGAGGGGAGAGAACACAAGTGACAGGTTATGACAGTTCCTGCTGTGGAAGATCCAGTCCCTACTTGAGTTGGCATGTGGGGTTGGGCCAGGTTGGCTTGTCAAGACACTCCCCTGGAAAGGCTTGCAAGTCGTCCAAGATGGAACCTCACTCTTGAAGAAATAGGACAGGTGTGGAACATCAGTCTGTAAAAAAAGGCGGGGATTCACAATAAGGATTCTGGTTTGGCCTTCCCGTGGAGTTGGCGGCACCAGTGACAGGTTTGGAAGCAGAGGCATTGCGCTGCTCCCTCAGCCTCTAGTTCACATTTGGAGTCTCTAGGTTTTGTTTTCAAATGTCTTTCATTGTTGCTGCCATTTCTTTCCCCCAAATCCCTGGTCTGAGCAGCCATGTCCTTCATAAGTAGATACGCCTGAGGTCCCCTGGAGAGGTGATGGTATTGCACTGAGGGCACAGCTTCTTTGCACCCTGTGGGAGATAAGAGGGAGAAAGTTAGAAAGAGAAAGAACCCTACCTCAAACACATCACTGTAGAGTAAGAAAGGGAAGCAGTCAGAAGTTACACATTATTTCCCATAATTGCAGAAAGCAGAGTACGTGAATTAGACTTCAATCTAGGGAAGAGGCAGACTCTCTTTCCTCACATAAAGCTGCTACTAATGGCAGCTGGTTGCAGACCAGAAGAGAAATGAAGGACCTGACGCATGGTTTATTTGCTGCCATCGTCTTTTTGCTTTCATTTTCAAACTGACTCCATGGGCCACTTCTCACATTACTTGTTCTGGCACTGGGCCCTCAAGGCTATCCCTCACACTTTGTCGGCTTCAGAGTAAAGCTGTTCCCAACAGGCAGAGCAGAAAGCACAAAGGTGGGAAAAACAATGGCACGTGTATGAAATTAAATGTGTGTGCACTCTCAACATTCAATATATTTTGTCAAAAACCAGGATGATAGAGGAGATGGAGGAAAATGCTTGGGAAGTAGAGGCGTTTTTGCTGCCCAGGTATGATTCATCTTGTAACACTGAAAGCTGGAAACTTGAAAGGTGCTAGAAAGGAGGAGCTCCAAAATGAATACACATAGTCTGACCACAGCCTCTGAGAACCCTTATTGGGATCAATTCCAGATCCAATCAGTTACCTCCAAGGATGTGGACAGGCTGCTTGGACGAGTGAAACCAACCACCTGTCTCCTTGATCCTTGCCTATCCTGGCTTATAAAAGTTAGCCTGGAAGGGCTGGGCAATGGGCTTCGTGGGGTGGTGAATGCTTCTCTCTGTAAGGGAGCCTTCCCAGACCTGCTGAAAGAGGCGGTCATTAAACCGCTTCTTAAAAAACTATCTTTAGATGCCGCCAATATAGCCAACTATCACCCAGTCTCAAATCTTCCATTCTTGGGCAAGCTGACTGACTGAGTGGTTGCTGAACAACTCCAGGCATGCCTGGAAGAAGCGGACCATTTGGATCCCTTCCAGTCAGGATTCAGGCCTCATCATGGGACTGAAACTGCCTTGGTCGCACTGGTCAATGATCTCCGGCGGGCTAGGGACAAAGGTGAGAGCTGTTTCCTAGTTCTGCTGGACCTCTCAGCGGCTTTTGACACCATCGACCATAACATCCTTCTGGACCGTCTTGTGGGGCTGGGAGCTGGGGGCACTGTTATACAGTGGTTCCGCTCCTTCCTCCTGGGCCGTGTTCAGAAAGTGGTGGTGGGAGATGAGTGTTCAGACCCCTGGGCTCTCACTTGTGGGGTGCCTCAGGGTTCTGGCCTCTTCCCCCATGCTTTTCAACATCTACATGCAGCCACTGGGAGAGATCATCAGGGGGTTTGGGCTGGGTGTTCATCAATATGTGGATGACACCCAGCTCTACCTCTCCTTCAAATCGGAACCAGTGAAGGCAGTGAAGGTCTGGAGGCGGTTGGAGGATGGATGGCGGCTAACAGATTGAGGTTGAATCCTGACAAGACAGAAGCACTGTTTTTGGGGGACAGAAGGCGGGCGGGTGTGGAGGACTCCCTGGTCCTAAATGGGGTAACTGTGCCCCTGAAGCACCAGATGCACAGCCTGGGAGTCATTTTGGACTCACAGCTGTCCATGGAGGCACAGGTCAAATCTGTCCAGGGCAGCTGTTTACCAGCTCCATCTGGTACGCAGGCTGAGACCTTATCTGCCTGCGGACTGTCTTGCCAGAGTGGTGCATGCTCTAGTTATCTCTCACTTGGATTACTGCAATGCGCTCTATGTGGGGCTACCTTTGAAGGTGACCTGGAAACTACAACTAATCCAGAATGCGGCAGCCAGACTGGTGACTGGGAGCAGCCGCTGAGACCACATAACACCAGTCTTGAAAGACCTACATTGGCTCCCAGTACGTTTCCGAGCACAATTCAAAATGTTGGTGTCCTAAATGGCCTTGGTCCTGAAGGAGCATCTCCACCCCCATCATTCTACCTGGACACTAAGGTCCAGCGCCGAGGGCCTTCTGGCGGTTCCCTCACTGCAAGAAGCCAAGTTACAGGGAACCAGGCAGAGGGCCTTCTCGGTACTGGCACCCACCCTGTGGAACGGCCTCCCACCAGATGTCAAAGAGAAGACCAACTACCAGACTTTTAGACAACATCTGAAGGCAGTCCTGTTTAGGGAAGCTTTTAATGTTTAACAGACCACTGTATTTTAATATTTTGTTGGAAATATTTTGTTGGGTGGGTATAAATAATAAATCACTATTATTATTATTAATCCCTTCAATATAACCAAAGACAGAAAACTCATCTTCCATTTGAACAGACATAAAGAATTCATCTGTACCACTAAGGGAAACTGAAACCTGGGCAAGGAAAAAGGAAGTTGAAAGCTGAATGAAGCAAAACAATGGCTGACACAATTTATCAATTAACCTAACAGGTCGGGGTGTTAACTTAAGTCTCTGAATATGGGTCAAGATATGCCAGTCATCATCTGATTTGGCAGGTGTGACGGACAGCAGATGAGAAGAGTGACAGGCAACACTGTATGTGTCTTTTTTGAAAGCAAATGCAGCCTAGGACATCAGCTAAGAAGTGTAATGAGAGGGAATCAAATATTAGCACTTAACTTTAGAAAAATGATCAGTTCATCCTCTGTCTGCAATCCAACCTCCCTTTTGTGGTTGTGAATGCACGATGTAGCTCTGGAATCACAGGCTGTAATTTTTGAATGGTGTACACTACTTTGTTGTATTTTCACAAAAGTGTCACTTATAAATATTTAAATAAATGGAGAAGATATGCAAGAGGTAGACTCTGAGAACTGTATAATACAGAGGCAATGGAATTAAGTGATGAAGCTACCAGGATTTAAAAGATTAGTATCCAAAGGTAGTTAGAATTGTAAAACAATCTGAGCAAAACCCTTTGATAAGCAATCCCAAGATTTTAAAAACAAGCACTATATTACTTCACCCCATCTGCCTTAGTACGTCAATATACACAAAGTAGAGGCGTATACAGTTGTTGCTAGAGGAGGAAGGAAAGACCCTGCCAAATCTGTGCCTGCAGCCAGATTCCCCTGTGCTAGTTGCTCCATGCCTGCTTGATCAGCAACAGGTCTAGCAAACCACTATGCTGAAATCAGTGCTGGCTCCCAAGTAGGTAGCCATCATGGCTGCAGAGAACATGAAAACATCAAGTTTATGCTACAGGCTTCAGTAGCTGAACTTAATGGCTCTCTCAGAACCACTCCCACCCCTCTTACCTCTACCATGTCTTATGAGCCCCAACCCATATTTCATGTTACCTATATACCAATCGTGATTATGCAACAAAATGTAACCCAACTGAACCAAAAGCAGTACCCAAAATATTAGCTTCAGGTATTGGAAACTTGTCTCAATTTTTTGTGGATGATGCAGCCTAGTTTATAACAGCAGATGCTATGAGGGTAAATGAAATATGAGTTATAAGGGTATTTTGCACACAAAAAGGTAAGCAAGACAAAGGTTGCGGACTTATACCGACCTACTCTGAGGAAGCTTAACATGAACAATTTATTCCAAGAACAGATCTCGCCCCAGCCCACCCACCCCAGTCACACAGAGAAACTGCATTTTGAATGGCAAGCTGATTACATCCAGGGATGTGGGCTATGCGCAACAGAAGTTTAAGGCACTCACAGGCTCACTCTTCTATTTAAACATTTCTCAACCCTGCATATAGTACTCGTTACAGAAGCAATTAAACAAGCCTCTCACACATGCCCTGGCATGGAGCCAGTGAAAAAGGACTTCCTTCCCCCAACCCCATCCTGCTCACCTGCCAGCTGGGGTTACTAAACTTTTCCCTTGAAATAAAAATACTGTGGAATAATAAGCCACACCTGTTGAACATGGAAAAAAAATATCTGAAATGTCCTCCTGCTCCTTTCATCGTGGCCCCATGGAAAAGCCTTGATGGGTAACAGCAGTGTATGCTGCACCGAAGGCCACCTCAGCTTTTCCGTTATAAACCCCAGTTTTCCAGGGTTTATAAAACCCGGCTGCAAAACGTAGCTCCGGGGCTGAAACACGGCACCAAAAAGGAATGATGAAGAGAAGGGTTTTATTTGCCCCCACGCATTCTTAATTAAATTTTGGCAAGTGATTGATCTAGAATGCAGGCTAATCACTTTGGGGAGTTTTGAAAAATAATGAGTACTACCCACTTTGCAAAGTCATTATATCTCACACTATGTCAGGAAGGAACAGTGCTTTGAGAACATGGTGGAGAATTTTCTTCAAAACCTGGGAAACTGAACATTTGCAGCGCACGATAATTCCTTTGCCTGATCTGCGAAAGAGGCGGGAGCTTTGCCATTGAAGAGATTAGAGAGAACAAATTTCACTCAAAGGTTACAAGCTCATCAATGCCTTGCCTAAGAGAACTATGCAATCACCATGTTATGGATGGGGAAAAAGAGGAACACATACCAAAGGAGGGAGAGGACCAAGACCACAAGATTCTGGAGGGGCAAGGAGCATAATCATGATCCTAACACCTGAGCTATGCCGTTCACCCAAGCCTGCATAGGGTGTGTGGAGGAAAAGAGAGAGGAGAGATGCAGGGAAAGGTTATAAGAACAATGTGAAAACCAGGTAACATGGCTGGCAGCACTAAGAGAGCTTGATGTACTCATCGGGGTGAGGTTAAATGCCCTGGCTTATCCTCACTGACACTTCTTTCCTTTTCTTTCACTTTCCCCCTATATGTCTTGTCAATTTCTGCATCAAGATTTTTATTTTTTCTGTAAAGGGCAGAAATCTCTCAAAGGTAATCTCCCAGGAGTCATATACTGGGCAGTGGGCATGGCCAGAAGAAAGAATGGGCAGGCCATCCCGTCTTCCTTTCTTCAAATCGCCTACTTTCTCCCTGCCCAGCAGGCAAGCCAGGAGAGGGGCAGATAACTCTTGCTATAGTTCTGTACTGATCAATTACAGGGGACCCACCTCCCATTTCCACTGTTGCTTTTCAGCTTACTTCCTCCAACACCCCATTCTCCTTCTGTCCCTCTGGGCTCCCCCACCCACATGAGATTAGGCCAAGGGACCCATGGGACTCTTAGGCCACAGGCTCCTCACTTGTGCTCTAGATTGTATGCTGCAGTCAGGGGCCTACATTGTTTCTAGGGTTTGCATACCACCTAGCAGTATCAGACACTTGATGCATGTATCTTCAACTGAGTGGGCTAAAACAATTCAAAATCCTGCACAAAAACTCAAATCTATCTATCAATGAATACAGTCATATAATCCATGCATAAGTTACATATATTTAGGCATCAGGCAAGACATTCCTCTACTCCCACATCTTTGGGCTAATTAAAACTATCTATGGCTTTTTAAATTGTGTGCATATGGGGGTATTGTTTTTGTTTGTTATTGTGGTATGTTTTGGTGTTTTATATTGTAAACCTCCCTGTGATCTTTGGCTGAAGGACGGTATAGACATTTAATAAATAACAATAATAAATTTGCTTGGGCTCTATGCAGTTCCAGCATTTTGATTATTTTAAAGAGTTTTGAATATTTGAGCAGTATACACTTAAAAAGCTGCCTTATTCTGAATCAGACTTTAGTCTGTGTAGCCTAATATTGTTTCATCTTACTTGCCAAAGTATGTTCCCTCTCTTAAAAGTATTCTACGTGGAGAAGATAATTATCCACAAGGTCTGCCAGGAAGCCATGCAGGCAACAGGAACCCCCAACTGCTATGCACTAGAGACAACTGCTACCTGTACATCTTCAAATGCAACCTGGTAAGCTTTGCTACCGGCTCAGTTTGCATGTAATGCTAAGTCAAACCATGGTTTAGCATTAACCTGCAGGCTCCCAGAGAGGAAATTACAGCTGCTCTGCTCCTCCCTCCCTTGCTGCCATGCTTTTTGGGGCTAAGCTATAGTTTAGTGTGCTGTCCAAACCTGGGCTCTTTGTTTACCTCCCTTACATCTAAATTGGGTCACTATATTGAAGGCAAACAAGCTTTTCTGCTACAAACTTAATTTTATACATGGAGAGGAAGAGGAAAAAGAAAACATCCTCTTCTCCCGCTTCAGTTTCCTCACCCTAATAACTCTCTATGTCCCAGACTGCACTGTTTTCTTACTTTGGAAGCAGTTGTTCCAACTGACCAGAAAACAGGATTAAATTGGGTCCAAATCTCTCATCGCTGTGGGTAGTCTTTTATTCCCACTGCCTTTTTAAACTCTGTTTCCTTTCAACAAATGCAGCAACTGTATTTCCAATATCAGGGCTGTTACAGCTATAGTTCCCAGATGGGAAATGGGAAAGCAGCTAAACATGGTTGTTCTTGGGGAGATGAAAAGGATAAGGATGGAAAATAACTTTATGCACCGAAAATGACATATTAATGATTAGCAGGTAAAACTGTCACCCAGAGCGAAGAACGTGACAGTCATTTCTGGGAGGCCAGTCAAAAATGAGAAATATTGCAGGTCAGCTCTTCAGTGATTCCTGTGTTAGTGAATAGAGAATGCTTTGGCTCAGGCAGAGACATAGAGTATGTTCATCCCTATGTTAATTTAAGAATTTCATGCCCACTTTGTTTCCAGTTCCCTTACTTAGTCCGCAGTACAAAGAAGTCCAAGCAAACATTTAGTCTGGTCATATAAAACACAGACACAGAAGGAAAAGCTTGACTTTTTCCCTAACGGGGGGAAGAATGGCAAATCTCCAGAAATGTTGAAACATGTCAGGAAGCCCAGCAAGCCAGCCTCGCCCCATAACTCCCATTAACTGCAACAAATTGTTTATTGCACAACATGAGAAATATGCTGCCCTCTTTACGGAGCACATTTTTCCATGTGTGCTGCACACAGAGGACTTGCGGCACTCTCCTCACCAAGAGGGAAGAAAGCCAGCTTTGCATCCAAAGAAAGGTAACTTGTGGCAATTATTAAATCCATTACGCCAAGGTTCCTTGCTACTCTAAAAAACCACACATACACAGTAGGCACACACAAGCGTCTCTTTTGTGCCCAAAATAAAAGGAGATACCTTAATTAGAACAATGCAGGTCAGAGAGTATGAAACACCCAGCCCAGCTGCCGCGTGCCATTAAATTCATAAAGAGGAGGAGGAGGGAAGGGCAGCCTTAACGAGATTACACACATTGACTTTGATCAAGACACAAAAGCACTAAGGCGTTCCAGGGTTTTTATTGCTGTCTTCGGGCTACGTTTTAATGGTTACATTAGAAACATGCGAACATAGGCTGAGAGGTTTTTTAGTGAGAGCCTGCCTCGCAAAAGGCCCCGCTTTAATAAATTGCGGGCTGTAGGGAAAAGGCGAGGGCTGGGGAACAGATGAGCGGCTGCTTATTAATTACATCCCCTGCGCAATTCCCAGCTCTGAACGTTGTGCTTGGTCAGTGCAGGGAACATGCACAGGCTGTGTTGGGGCACCACTCTGAACGGGTTCCTCCCATCAATGCTATCCCAATTTTCAGCACTCTTCCCTTTGGCAAATATAGTTGTTGCAGTAAAAAAACAACAGCAGGACTGCTTTGCATGGCACTCAAATAGAAAGAAAGAAGATACAGGTGGGCCTACCTGTGTCTCATTCAAGATACACACAAAAGGAATATACAGGAACAGTAATGTATGGATATTGCCCAGGGGTTAGGTACATGCTCTAGCCTTGCCTCTGGAGTTTTAGTGATCCTTTTACCTTCCCTTGGAAGAGAGGCAAGCATTTTAATACTTGCTTCAAGAATTATTTGTAGTAGTAGAAGTAATTAATTAATTTAATAAATAATAATAATAATAATAATAATAATAATAATAATAATAATAATAATAATAATAATAATAATTTGTACACCACCCATCTGACTGGACTGCCCCAGCCACTCTGGCTGGCTTCCAGCATATATAAAAACATAATAAAACATTAAACCTTAAAAAGCTTCCCTATACAGGGCTGCTTTCAGATGATTCCTAAATGTTATATAATTACTCATCTTAACATCTGATGGGAGGGCATTCCACAGGGTGGGTGCCACTACGAGAAGGCCCTCAGTGCTGGATCGCAGGGTCTGGGCTGAAGGATAGGGGTGGAGACGCTCCTTCAGGTATATTGGGCTGAGGGCATTTAGGGCTTTAAGTTCAGCACCAACAGTTTGAATTGTGCTCGGAAAAGTACTGGGAGCCATATCTTATGAACAACAACAAAAAGGCACTGGGACTGAAACTTTGGGATGGGGAAGGCGGCAGCAGTAAGGCCACCAAGTTCCATCTAATTTAAGTGGTATGCATGCAAATATGCTTTGCTAAACAAAAGGAACAAAACTGCTGAACACCTAGTTTCAGAAAGCAACTGTTGTCAACTAATAAGATCAGTTGGTAGCCCACAAGCTGAATCCTGTCCATTAACTGCATCTGGGTCCCAGTAGCCCTAGCAACTTCTAAATCAAGGTGTAATAAAACATTCCCTCCAGTTTCACTTTCAAAGACAGTTAAGTTTTTTTCAAAAGCGAGACAGTAAGAAATGCATTCCACCCCAAAGCTTACAACTCTGTTTGGGTTTTGTATGCAATGACCCTGCTGAAAGTTACTTGAAGAAGCTGTAATATTCTGTGTGCATCTCAAATAAATTTTATTTTTTACTATTTTTGATGTGCTTTTAGAACAGCAAATGTTCAGTGCCAAACTGCAGCTTGAGGGGCTCTTTAGGGAAGCATATTTGTTCCTCAGACCAGGTCCCCCTACTATATTTAACTGATGACACCTTACCATCCAAGCTCACCATCCAAGTTAACATTACAGAAAGGTGTTGGGTGGCAAAATACATATCCAGGCTTCTGTCAGGAATATGGGGTGTCCCCGAGTCTGTGAAAGTGGCACTGAGGGCATCTGCCTGTTAATCCTATTGGTTTTACAATGAATGCCGGGGTGGGTGGGGAGCCTGCATGTGTCATAATAGTGTGATAGAAATGTTGTATGAGACATTATACTTTTACAATATGGTTAGCAGTTTTTAAACACAGCCACAGATGGCAGATTCTGTAGGGGGTAAATGCTATAGCACAGTTTTTGCTTTTAAAATATTTCTGTCTTAAAGAGAGATTACTTGTTTGAAATATATGTTTAATAGTGTATGCTACTTCTTGTTCTGATCTTATGTTTACACAAAAACTGACCTGTGTTCTTTTATTTTATATAAATACTTTATATTCTGCCCTACAACAGGTTCCCAGGGCAACATAGCAAAATGTGTGTGTAACCTCTGTTTTAGAGCTTCATGCCTAGAGATCAGATCTGTCTTCATAGACATTCCTCACCAAGGAAGAGTTGAAGGCTGAATGGATCTTTTAGTAACTACTGCTATGCACTATTTTGGGTTTTTGTCTTTTTAGCATTATGTTTCTCTATTTGGGCCCAATCTTCTATGCTTTTTCTAAAAAAAGATGACGACTTCAATGGTTACTTGGTTGAAAAAGTTATGATTATGCTGCGTTTCATTCAGAAATGTGTAATAGGGCTGCAGGGTTACTGGATTCTCTGTAGTGTTAATGGATTCTTTGCAGGTCTGCTTCTGGTTATTGTCCCCTATATGTGCATCTTTGAGATGCATGTACAGGCGTATCCCAAAGATGTGCATCTCTGCAACTTGCAAATAGTCACTCTCTCCTCATTAAATTATTGGAGATCTGCAAATATGTGTTTGAGCTATTTGTGCACTACAAAATCTTTTGGCACCTTTCTTGAAAATCTGAAAGGAAGAAACTCATTTCCTATTACTTGCGCATGCATGCATGCATGCATGCACACACATACCTAAAAATTCTCTTTTATATGCACTCTCACTCACACAAACACAAACCCATGGAGTCAACATGCCTCTCTCTACCATTCCACGACTGTCTGCAATCTCCTCTGAATCCTGCACCTCCATAGTTATTTAGTCAAACTCCTGGAGCATGCTTTCTTTCTAGTACATGACCTAAATACTCAACTCAACACAACACTCAGTGGTGCAGTTTCTTGCATCTTCTTCAAAAGGGCTGAGAGAGGTTATAGGGATGGGTAGGTGAAGCATGGGTGCAAAGTGAAAACAGGTGGGCTAGAGTCTCAAGGGGATACTGCCCAATGTGCAGAGCTCATTGGGATACCCTTCACGTCATCCAACTTGTGATGTTGGAAATGAGGCAGAGTTCCTTTCCAACCAAATCACATGCAACAAAGTTAACAAGAAGGTGTATGATCCTGCCACTAGTGTTAGAGAAGGAGGTGGGAGAATCCATACACCCTAAATTAAATTAAATTCACTGAATCCCTGGGGAAGACTCCAATCCAACTGTAACTTGAACTATGGAAAATACTACACTTGATCTTGGACAAAAGGCTGAGAGCGATGGGAAAATACTTGAGGAAAAGAAACAATGTATGAATCACCACCCAAGAAACTAATAGCCTCACCAGAGTCCGCAGCCAGCATTCCTCGCAGTGTACGTGCCAGCACTGGATGGAGGTCAGGGGCATCGTGTATGAGTCCTGTGGAAAGAAAATTGAGACAGCCTCATCATATACTCGACATTTTTGAGAAATCCCCTATTAGATCCTGAGCTCTTGGGGCAAGATGTAGAGGACATACTGTACCAGTACACCTTCATTTTCTCATGTGATCCACACAACATAACTTCTGATTCACATGCAGTTGAGAATACACTACAACTGGGGGATTAAAGTTTTTTTAATACTGTGCTTTAATTACTAGGCTGGTACACAGTGGGCTAGGCATGAAATGGAAAGCAGCATAACCTCAAAGAGTTGTGCCTCTTCTGAAAGAGGCATAACAGAAGGAACCCTGAGGTCATCTTCCAAGAACCTCATCCATGTACCCTCCATAAGAGAAGTTCAGACAAAAGAAATTTTCAGTGTTAATAGAATGTTTACAGATTGCTCTACCCATCAAGGTCTGCCTGGTGCTAGGAAGTTTCCTCTTCACCCAGGCATATGATTGTTAATATTGTTACATTCTGCTGGGCATTTGACTTTTCAGAATTTATATCAACTAGTTGGTTGCTGTGGTCTCTGTTTTAATTCTTCTATATTTTTATATTGCTTGTATTTTATATTGCAAATTGCCTCAAGGTTGTTTTTAGGCCTCACCTAAGAAATTGTAATAAATAATAACAGTACAGTGGTACCTCTACTTATGAACACCTCTGGTTACGTATCCTTTGGAATACGCACGAGGCAAACCCAGAAGTATTTTTCCGGGTTTTGCCACACGCGCATGTGCAGAAGCGCTCTACTGCGCCACACTCATGCACAGAACAGGCACCTCCAGTTGTGAAAACCTCAGGATCAGACCGGAGCTCCGGAACGGATCCTGTCTGCAACTGAAGGTACCACTGTGTTGTTATTAATAATCCAACTGCAATGTAGCACAATGATTACTTGTAGATAGAAACAAAACAAGCTGTTATAGTAGTCTCCTCTTGCTCCACAAATGGGAACAACAATGGAATAAAAATCAACAGGTTTATGACAGCTGCTTGCCAGGAACAGCATCAATCCTTATTTTGAATATCCTGATTTTACAGTAAGACTTGCCAAGTATCTCTTATGATAGCTAATTATTGTATGATTATTCTTTTTACAACAGAAAAGAGGCACTTCACTCTGTTACTCTGTCGTTTGAGTTTCTTTCCTAGCACCCACAGTTTATTTCAGTTGTTTTCATAACCAAAGAAAACTAAAACATTAAATCTAAGGACTTGTACAAGAATTGTTATTATTTTATTTATTTTTGTAGTAATGGAAGCAACCTTCCCCTTGATGCTATGAAGATGTGAACCCTAGTCCTGCAGCAATAGTATGACAACTGTACAAATGTAATATTGCAGGGGGATGAGGAGGAAGGAAAGATAAGCTGTTGCAGGAAGAAAAGCCTTCCCCAATAAATAGTATGGACAGGAGAAATGTTCATTCTTCAGCGAATATTGTAAGCTGAATTGGAGGTCACTGCTGCAAAGGAGAGCAAGTTTTCCATTTTTCTTATTTTAAGAAAATACATTTTATAAATATCTATATCCTTTCTATCCCAAATGATCTGCAAGTAATGTTGACATTTATTTTATTTTATTTTATTGGGGGGACGACACAAAAGTATATTAAAACTATGCAATTACAGTGCCAGTAGCAATACCCTTTTAGAGCAGTGGTGGCAAACCTTTGGAGTGTTGGACTCCAAGTCCCATCATCTCCAGCCAACTTAGGATGATATGGGTTGCAGTCCTGCAACATATAGAAGGCTACCAATTCCCCATCCCTGCTTTAAAAGGGCCGAAAAGGGAATCATATTCAAAATTTAATAGGAGAAACACACACACTTCCCAGTATCTACCTGACAAGTGATACCATTATTCCTTTTTTGGGGGGGAGGGGAGCTTGGAGGGGCTTAAATAGAGACACAATTTGAAGGAAAGATACCAGCATCCCTGCAACCAGAGATGTAAAAAGTTACAGATGCCAAGCCACTAGAGGGCGCTTCAGCACTTTAGTAAGTGAATCATAAGAGCCAAGGCACTCCTCATCAGGGTGTAGTAGACAATCAGCAACTTTGAAAGAGTTTGGCTAATAGGCCGTATTCTAACCCTACAGTATATGCAGGGAGACAGGAACATGGACACAGGGAGATCTGCAGGGTCCAATATGTCGCCCACACCACAGCAGCACACATTGAAACATATTCCCGAGCTGTGCCGTTTTCATCCAGAATCGAGGGACAAAAGACAAGGTTTTAGTTTCTCCACACCAGTTGTGCCACCTTCCTATAGGGCAGGGAGAGGTACAGAGTCATTTTCTTATTCATGACCACAACTGGCAAGCTACTCACCATGCAAATGAGACATTTATAGCGGTCCCCACGGGAAAGCTGCCTTTCTAATTCGCGGACACGAGCCTTTAGCGCCTCAAACGTTGTCACTGCTGAGTCTTCTGTAATCCTAAAATAGATGAGAAAGTCAGGGCTGGCTGAATTCTTAAGAGGGGAAAAAATCACCGATTTCATATGTGCCAAATGTTGTAGAGCAAAGCCACATGATGGCAGCTTGCATGTTGGTTCCTGGTAAAAGTAACTCAAGAAATAGAATCAAAGCAGCAGAGACTGCCTGAGGCTTGAGAATCAACTTTAGCCACCAGGTTTAAGAACAAAGGTCAAGGAGCAGAGTACAGAATACACGAACCCAGTCCTAGTGGATCAATGCCATATAGTATTTCCAGAGGAGGTGAGAGAGCATGAGAGCATGCATGATCACAAACTAATTCGTTCTGGAGGTCCGTTCTTAACCTGAAACTGTTCTTAACCTGAGGTACCACTTTAGCTAATGGGGCCTCCCACCACCACCGCACGATTTCTCTTCTCATCCTGAAGCAAAGTTCTTAACCCAAGGTACTATTTCTGGGTTAGCAGAGTCTGTAAACTGAAGCGTTTCTAACCCAATGTACCACTGTATTGAAATTGTGTTGGTCCCTTTTCCAAGAGGACCGAGCAAGATGATGCCAAATTAACATAAATGAGGGGGACGGGCACATCTGAAAGTGTAGTGTTGCGCAACGGCTGCAACATACCCATGGGGTATGCAATAGAAAAAAGGCTGAGGGAAAGCAGCAAGATCCCAGATGCCCCCATGAAACTTGAACACTGGAATGTTCTAGCTAAAGGGACGTAGCTGTAACAAGAAGTTTTAGTTTGCGCAACTTGGCTATTAGCATTAAAATCTCTGCCACATTTTGACAATGCATAGAAAAAGCAACCAATATATTATATCAGTAACTGCAAACCTTGCAGAAGCATCCAAACCCAAATATAGCAATTAGAATGAAGGAAACGAAATAAACCGGATAAATTGACATTTATGCCACACAAAACAATTATGTTTCTTTAGTCTAGCATTTCATTTTCTCTCTCCTCAAAACAACCACTGCCCTGTCAACCGGGGAATATTATAAATCAAGTTGTGAATGATGACAGAGAGCCAAGCAACCACAGATTACTCTGTTACTTGAGTACACATACAGCCTAAGAAGTGCAAATACCCATTCTGGTGGGAACTAACTGCATGGCTTGGGCATAGACTCCAGGAGAAACCAACCAACCTCTATAGCCAAACAGGATCCTTATCTTAGATACTAACAGCAAACTCATAGTCCAAGTGTGGATTCAAAGTGCAGACAAAATGGCAGTAGAGGGAGGCATCAGAAGACTTGGGAAACCCCAATGTTTGCCGAGGTACAAAAACGTAGACCTGAGAAACAAAGTGGAAACCTTGGAAGAACAACCCAATGATGATGGTGTATGACCAGTGCACCTGGCATGGCTCACCAACTGTGTGACTGGGTGGGGGTGTTGAGAAGACGGAAGAAGGAGAACGGAGTATCCTAGAAAATTGTGTGGTTGGCTGGAAAGCTGGAACCTTGAACAGGAGCATTCCACACTGCAACATTTTGTTGCAGATACCAATTGTTCCATTCTGTTTGCTACTTTAACAAATGTAGCTCTCAGTAGTCATACCTCGGGTTGAATGTGCTTCGGGTTGAGCGTGTTTGAGTTGCGCTCCGCGGCTCGCTGCTTGCGCAGATGCTCAAAATGACGTCACGTACATGAGCGGAAGCAGCAAAACGCAACCCGCGCACATGCATCGTCGCGGCTTATGTTGCGTTCAGGATGCGAACGGGACTCCGGGAACGGATCCTGTTTGCATCCCGAGGTACCACTGTACCAGAATAGGGTGAGCCAGGGGTCCTCAACCCTTTTCAGCAGGGGGCCGGTCCACTGTCCCTCAGACCTTGTGGGGGGCTGGACTATTTTTTTTTGGGGGGGGGAGGAATGAACGAGAGACGATGAGCAGCACGTGAAAGGACTCCAGAGAGGGGCTGCTTTAAATGGCGTCCGCTCGAGAGGGGCGCTCAGCCAACTGCGACTCCTGTGTCTTGTGAGTGGTGGTGGTGGGAAGATGAGTGGTGCATGAAAGGGCTCCAGAGAGGGGCTGCCACCAACAAAGCCCAGCCCCTTTCCTCCTCTAGGCAGGGTGGGGAGAAGCCAGGAGGGAGGGAGGAGGTGCCACCGCCACCATGTGAGGGAGAGGGAGAGAGGGGGAAAGAAAACACACGCTGGAAATCCACGCAGTGATTCCTGGACCATCCGCGGGCTGGATTTAGAAGACAATTGGGCCTGATCTGGCCCACAGGCCTTAGTTTGCCGACCCATGGGGTAGGTTAAGCCATGATTTCAAGTATCAAGAGCAAAGACATCTAGCAGGAACAACACTATAACATAGCTTAGGCCAGCTCACCTCTCCAGGAATCTAAGTAAGATATCTGAAACCAATGTTATTTGGTGATGGTGATGGTGATACCTGTTATCCTTCATTCGAGGATAACAGGGTGGTTTACCATATAAAAGCACAAGAATACATTCCATAGTAACAAACAAAAACAATTACTATTCCACCCAGTTTAAAAGGCTGTAGATTATTTAATTAGCCAAAGGTCTGGAAGAAGAGGAATGTTCTTGCTTGGCACCTAAAGGTATGTAATGAAGGTGCCAGGTGAGCGTCCCTGTGGAGAGCATTCCACAAGTGGGGAGCCACTAAAGAAATGAGCAACTGATAGCCAGGTGAGTTGGGCAGCAACTCCAATCATAAGAAACCACACTACCAACCAACAGAAATTACACCTTGGTCAGGAAGAGGCAGGCAATGACATGAAATGGTTTGTTTATAGGAGTCTAATGGGCTTCCCCTCGCTGGACAGTTTGTGAAAGTCTCTCAGATGATCATCCCTGTCCAGTGATAAACGAATGAATCAGAGAAGGAGGCAGAATAGAGGCATAAGCAACAACACTCAGTGCCTGCCCAATACAATGGTCAATCAATAGTGAGGCTGTAGATCAGGGTGTTAGTTAGCTGGAAAATTACTGCATTGCCGCATGCGTCACGCTGGAGGGATCCTGGACAATCAATGAGGGAGGTATTGATTTAGTTATTATCACTTCATATGCTCCAGACATTGTTAAATATACATTTATTAACAAAGCTGAGAAGGGGACATAGAGTAAGCCTGAACAAGTACAAAAACTACTCCAGCTCAGCCAGCACACCAAAGTCCACATAGCTGCCCCAGTATGGAAGGTTCAGTCAGGCTTTAACATGGCAGAATAAGTAACTGGCTTCAGAAAGAGACTGTCCCTTCATTCCCACTGCAGGAATGGCCAGTTAATGAATTCAAAGTAATGCTGCCAGCTTTTTAAAAATCATATTCAGAAGTGTTTTATTCCTTTATTGCAGGGGTGGGAAACCTCCCGCCTGGGAACCCTCTCTAGGCCACAGCCCTTGCCTGCTGGCTGAAATTTGTCCATGAACTCTTGCTTGCCTGGATGGAGGACAGAGGTAGTTGTGAGGTTGTGTAGAAATGAGCCTACCGGACACACCCCAGGAAGATTGCCTGGAAGGGAATCTGGGCCTCTGGCAGAAGAAGTTGGAAAAGAGAGGGAAGAAACAGGCAGGGCTTTGTGAGGGGAGACTGAAGACTCCAAGAACAAAGAGACACCAAAATGGAAAGGAAGGAAACTTAAAACCTATCAAACTAAATATATCAAATTTTTAGCCTGTGAGAATTGTCTCACAGCAGAAGTTGGGATTGAATCAAATGAGGAATGTCAAGCACTAGAGCAGAATCATAGGATAAAATACCTCCACCCCACTCCCAAACCTAATGTACAGAGGACGACGCAACAGGCTGTTTACCTTATTCTGCCTTGGTGTGCCACTGGGAGAAAAACAAAACATAAAATAACCAAAAGGGAAAGTTTTGCTACTTCCACAAATCTGCAGGTCTAGCAACTCAGAAAGGGTCATGACCATAGTGCCCCTCTAATTATTATTTGTTCTTCTTAACCAGGGTCTGATATGTGTGTGTGTGTGTGTGTGTGTGTGTGTGTGTGTACACTGTCTCATTGTTGTAGTCTTCTTCCCAGTTTTGCTTCAAAAAATTCCCTTCCCATCTTCCCTCTCCAGTTTATTTCAACAGAATACAAATTTCCTTCCTCTTCATAAAAAGTCACACTGTACATAACATTCCATAAATTTTATAGCCCTGCTGTTTATATGTCCCTTGTAAAACACATTTAGAACTGATTATATCCAACACCAATAAAACTTCATAGGCTACTTCCGACACCTGAAATCTTGGACCTTTCGCTCTTTTCACAGTCATTTATTTTGGTGTTCAGGAGTCTGAGAATTCAGACAAAATTCAGGTTTTCTCATACAACCCACAGGCTCTTGTTCTTTCTAGCGGCGAGAAATAGATGCTAAGATACAGGTCTGTTTCCTGGAACTTTATGTTAAATAAAAGATATGCATGCAAAGCAACCCTCCGCCAAAAGAAAGTATTGTTCACAATAAAATTATGAGATGATGAACTGCTTTTGAGCAGAGATGCACAATAGATTGTCATTTCCAGAATAAGTGGGGGCATAAACCTGTGAGAGAAAAATCAGTCAAGCTGTAATGCAACACTAAGGGACAGTACATCTATGTGGGAAAGTGGCATACAAAATTAATGTAGTAGTAGCAATAATTAGTAAACTACTGACACACACTACTAGATGTCCCTACAGCTGAATCACATGCACACATAGCTGTCAACTTTCCCCCCTTTTTAAGGGAAATTCCCTTATTCCGAATAGGATTTCTTGCAAGAAAAGGGAAAAGTTGACAGCTATGCATGCACAAGGACGAATGTGCTAGAAAATATGCCTGGTGGAGAATTGGTAAAAACTATTTCCAGAGGAGTAATATCGTTAGTCTGCTGCAACAAAAGGTCAGGGCAGGATCCACCTAAGGAGCCCTGTCACAGAAGGGCTTCCGCTTGTGCAGTATCTTCATCCCCCCACCATAAAAAATTGGCTGGAGGGTGGTTCAGGAGAACCTCCAGAACTGTGCACAGGGGCACAACCCTACTGCCTCCTCAATACTTTCATTTCTTTACTGGCTGGGCTTGTAACTATTTATGTTGAAAAGTGCCTGGGTTTTTCATTTTGATCCCTCAGATTTGCACAAAATCAGAAAACTGCGCCATGCAAAGGAAATTGGCAACTTGCCCCAATCATTTCATGTAAGCCAAGCCAAGCAGTCATGTATTTCCCAAAAAGTATTCAAAAGCACAAAGGTAATAAAGGTGTCTCTCTGGGAAATGTGACAGGGGCTCTTATGTCTCCCTTCAATGGAGTGGGGAGAATTTTTAAAAGCTGGGCTGCTCCAGGTTGTTTCTCTCCTCCCTCTATTTGGGATCAAAGTCAAATCTTCATCAGGACCACTCAGTGAAGCAAAACATCCTCACTGCCTACTCATAAGTGGCGTAAGTGATCCCAGGATTTAACCGTTAACTGGACACCTCCATTTCCCCCTTTTTCTGGAGTGATCAACAACCCCAAAAGGGTGTGTCTGCAGCAGCATTACCAGGTACTTGGAGACCAAGAAGAACCTACTCCTTCTTTACTTGCACCACCAAAGCACATTAAACATTTCTACATCATTTATACTGACAAGAAGTCTGAAAAGTGTGTGCTGAGAATTTAAAATTGCCTTAATTTCTTTTCCAGCATGTTAGGGTGACTCAGCAACTTAGCCATATATATATATATTAATCTCTCAGTTTTGCACAAAACAAGCAAACAAGGTGCAAGTGCACACATGCGCTCTTGGTACTTAACTGGCATAACAGAGAATGCGTACTGGTATGAATGAGAAAGACCTAAGTTTTCTCCTTATACAGAAATTAAAATACGTGTGGATTACTCCAGTCTAATTCAAATGGGGGAAAGTGGATTAACAGCTAAATTATCAAATTGAGGTGAAATGACAAAATGCCCAATTGTTTTATTACAATAAAGGAGCTGGCTTTCCTGCTGCAGACAGAAATGTCTTCAGTTATGTATCTTTTTAGAGGAACCTCTCTGAAAAAGGCTGACTTGGAATTCTGTGCAGGAATGCTGCCTCTATTGAGGAATTGGCAGGGATGCTAATATATTGTTCTCCGAGAGGAGTGTCCTCCCATCTTGATAATAGTGCATTTCTGTAGTACAATATATTAAGAATGCTGTTCACCTGTACTTTCAGTGGGTGACTTAGTTTGGCAACATGCCCTAGCTCCTGGTTGCCAAGTTATGAATAATGTAGTGTTCTGTGGCCTAATTTCCATGTTCTAAGCTGAAAATTTGGAAGACGTTGCATGCAAGGGTGCGCGTCTGCAAAGCAGAGGCCCTCTGCGTCACAAGTGCCTCTATTTTATACTTGCTTGCACAATTTGTTAATGCCACCAGCTGCTTGCCAAGTTTGGAGTTCTGTTAACTAATTTAATCTTCATGCAAAGCAAACATGTTGCGTTGCTCTACTCCGCAGAGGAATTATTCTTCTTACACTTGCATGCTCTATCACAGTGGCATGGAGGGGAAGCTTACTGCCACAAGAAGGCATTCTAAGCTACATTTAGCTAGGACCTGGTAACGATTCCCCAAAGATTTTCCCTACAGAAGAATTCATTATGCTGCTTTCACGCCCCCCATCCCTTCACTGACATGGAGCCCAAAATGTCTCTGCAGAACCAGAGAGTGAGTTCGGGAGTTGGCACTCGGCCTTCTCTGCCTCCGGGACTCACGTGCCTGGCCCCATCAAACTGCAGACAGATGGCACCAACAATCAATGAAAGCAGTAAGAAGTTTCCGAGTCAGCACGATTAGAAGAATCAGCAGGGATGTGGAGATCTGTTAGCCACCGAGAAGGATTTTTGTTAATTTATTTCAGGAGGAGGGTACCAAAAGGCTAAGCTTGCACTGAAGTTCTTATGCATAATCCGGGCAATCATGCATCTACAAGATAGTTGGCAAACAACTAACTCTAAATTTGACAAGCAGCTGGTGACCAGAAGTGCCTGTTCCACTTTGTGTGCGTGTTGCTTGATAGGAACTCTGTAATTGTGTTCTTCCCTACTTTAAAAACAAAAAAAGAAGGGTAGAGACATGCATTGAATAACTTGAAATCATTCACAGAACTAAATAACTGAATAAATGTAAGTAAAAATGTTCATAAAATGGGCAGGCATTACCGCAGGAGGAAAGGGCAGCGTTGCTGGTGTCTATCACCTTGAAAAACAATTGAACTCTTACATAAACTTCTGCATTTCAGTGCTACACGATGGGAACATTTGTTCTCTAGTAAATTAAAAACTAAAGAAAAAAGGCCACAAAATAACAGGAATGAAGGATAAGGATTTGTGCTGCTCACCATCAGCAATTATCAAGGGTATTTTATATTTGAAGCACTAGCGGTGCAGAAAAAATGACTGCATATTTTCATTGAATGATGAAGAAATGCAATTTCCCAACAAGAGAAGTACTACTTTGAGGAAATGCATCTAAATCCTGCACAACGGCTTAATTTTTTTGCACAAAGACCCATATCAGAAAAGACATCAACTTGCTCTCCTGACAGCTACCTCTGAGGAAGAAGGAAGGCTGCCACCAGGCTGCTGTATTATTGCTATAGTGAGAGTTGTGCATGGAGACAGACAACACCCAGATAATCAACAAAAGCCTTTCTATTAAGGTGAAGCTTGTGGGTCTCAAGGCCCTAGCTTTTATGCTCTTATTATTCTCAAATATGAACCACTGAAAGGTTCAAGATTCAGAATTGAGCCCATCATCTTAAGTTACGCTGTGGTCATGTACAACACACAAATCCTATACTGAAGCATACAAATCATTTTTAGGTGCTGTATACACTTGATGGAATACTTGCCCCACAGAGCTTATTATAAACTTTACAAGGGAGCAAAACTGAAACACTGCAAGTTATGATGACTAATGAAAGGGAGAAGATTTGAGCAAAACTCCAGTAACCACCTTATACCAAGCTATAGCTGGATGTGCAAGGCAGAGATGAATGGTGCAGATTTCAATGTCCTGAAAATTTGAGATTTCTGCAAAAAACAGCACACTTCTAGCCCTTAGAAAGCTGCCTTTTAATAGGAGGGGGGCAAAATATAGTAAAACTAAGGCCACATTAATTTTTGTGATAGTAACAGACACACAAACTTTTTTTGGGGGGGGATGTGAAACATGAGACATGTTTCACCCACATTAGCTAGTGTGAATTTACATGGTAAAAATATTAATTTACAATGCTTCACTAAAAAACCCCACAACTCTGCATGTTTTGCTTCATCGCATTTATCCTCAAATGGGAAGAGAATGAGCAGCTACAACACAAGAGATCAGAATGGAACAGGACTCCACCAGTTTGATCTTTTCCTCCCTTAATTTGAGCTGTGTGTGCATGCCTTCTTGGGCTGCGATAGTGCTGCATCTGGCTGTAACATTAACTAAATCATAGGTTAGTGGTATGTGAACAAGCCTCAGGTTTATGAGTTCCCCCTTCCCCACATTCCTTTTCTGGCATGACTGCAAGGAGCAGTTTGGAAGCCTCGACTTCCTTTTTATCCAAACTGTTATTATTTGCCCAAACAAGCCAAGATAAAATCTTACTTTCTGATCCTCACCTGTTTGGACAAACCCCTGCTTAAATCAGGTGGAACCTCAGTCCCAAGGGCCAAATGTAGCCCTCCAGGAATATTTACCCGGCTCTCAGGAATTTCCCCAAGGCCACATCCCTTACCAACTGTGCTCCCACCCTCCTTGAGTGCTTCTGCCTGGGTGGAATGTGCTCTTGCTCGCTTACCTGGATAGAGGGGTGTCTGTGGTGTGTATAGAAACCTCAACTTCCATGCAGTAGGAATGTCGCCTACTGTACAAAAGTAAGAGATGCAGCTGTTACTCTGCCCACTTTTGCTACTGGCCCTGCCCACTCACTTTTGGGGAAAGTGTTCTCACCCCCAGGTTTAAACCAATCACAGTTTACCCTGGTTTGGATGAAATGGCAGGTCACAGTTAGTTGGAAGAAAGAAGTGGGTGCTTCTGATCTTCTCATTGCTGTGCTAGAAGGGAGCAGAGTTGTGCAGACTTCTGAGCCAGGATATAAGACTAGATATCATACAATGCAAGGAAAGCACATGCGATTCATGCAGCTCAGAGCTTCTTTTTTATAGTGTTCATTCTGTCTCTTGGGTACCACTTTCTGCTGTCAGATATGCAATCTGCCCCTGTACTGTCATGGAAGGCTGTCACAGGAAACAGCAACTTATACGGCCAAGATTCAGAATTGAGCCCATCATCTTAAGTTACGCTGTGGTCATGTACAACACACAAATCCTATACTGAAGCATACAAATCATTTTTAGGTGCTGTATACACTTGATGGAATACTTGCCCCAAAGAGCTTATTATAAACTTTACAAGGGAGCAAAACTGAAACACTGCAAGTTATGATGACTAATTTGTTACTGGTTGTTGTTTAGAGGCAATGGCCAATTTTAGGGACAGGTTTTTGTTCCTGTATGACACAGCTCAAGGTTCCCAACGTGTAATTTAGTTCTTCAGGGGAAACTAGTTGTATTTTCTAACCTCTGGTTTCCCTTACCTGTAGGCTAACTCCAGTATTTCACAGAGAATCATCATCCATCTAACTGAAATACTCTCCAACGGCCCATCAGCCTTGCCTTCTCTTTGAAATAGCCCAGCTGAGCACTGCACAGACTGTGATTTCCCCCCCTTCTAAGATGTCTTACTCACTCCATAAGCTCAAGACTGACAGTCGAATTTCACACTGTGATAGCCCCCCATCGATTTTTCACTTGCAGGGAGCAACTCTACAAATTAAAGTTAACAGCATTGTTGAAACTTTGAAATAACTGAGGGGGGAAAATGGGATCGAAAAGATACCTGAACACCAGGGGTTCAATGTTTTTGGGGGAGAGGGAGGAAAATCCAAAGGTGAAGGGCATTTCCAGACAATTAAAACCTTTTGAAAGGGAATTCCTTTGAATAAATGAAATCATATCAAAAGATCCACAAAATGTAAAGTTATTGCTGTAGGGGAGGTGGGCTGATAGGCAGCATTGCAAAAATACATGAAGACTCTTGTACTTTGAGCAATACAATTCCGAAATGTACAATGCCTGAAAATAGCAATAGAATAAGAGTAAAATACATCTCAAGTCCACAAAACATGGGTTGGGAGTGGAATGCCACTTGCCACTAGCAGTGTCATACAACCTACTTTATTTTTAAATCCTGTGCACCTGTTTGCATTCTCAACTGACTGCTTGAACCTCTACTCTGGCCATCTAAACCCTAAATGCTCCCAATACAATAAACTTCAGTAAGTACTGTGGAACATACACAGAGCGACATTAGACCCCACAGAAATTATGATTACAGTAGTGGTCTCCAGGAGTAGAGATGCCAGTGAAATCCATAGCTCTGGAACTCGTGTGGATAGAAGATTTGGAGGGTTTGAATCTGACCAAAGAAGAAGTGAGCCAAAGGAGACTTGAATTATTCTCAAACTCAGACTAGAATCCAAGCTAAAGAATTCAGTTTATTCATTCCAACCCATTCCTCTGTACAATCCAGTCACCCACTTCCCCTTTAATCTACTTATTGCTTGGGCCAGCAGGAAGTATTCCAGCTGTAGGGAGAGGGAAGGGTGGCACTCTCCAGTGCTTCATGCTCCATGTAACAGCACACCAGGTGCTGCAAAAGACCCTGGTGCAAGGGTGAGAACCTTTTTCAGCCTGAGGGCCGCATCCCTTCTGGGAAACCTTCCGGGGGCCACATGCCAGTGGTAGGCAGGATCAGAGACAAAAGTGAGTGAAGGAACAAATGTACATTTTACCAATGTGCAGCAGTTTAGTTTCTAAACTCCCTCACTTTCTCCTCTCTATCCCCCATCCAGACAAGCATGAGTTCAAGGACACATTTTAGCAATTTTTTAAAACTTAATTTGTTTAAAATATAGACGGATCAATAAAACCAATAGCAAATACAAAGCATCTAATTCAAAAGGGGAGGATATAAAAGCAATATATCTATTATCAAAGGGTTACAAATTTCAGCTTAGTTCATACCATGAGGGTGATCCAACTTCTTCATTTTAATGTCTAATAACTATGTGCTAAAGAGCCCTAGCAAGGGGTGTGGGTGGGTGTGATTCACTTGTTTCTCTATTTCCCCTGAAAGTCTGCAGTGAAAGTCCTACTGCTTGTGCTACCCTGGATAATTGATTTGGCCTCCCACACTAGTTGCCCTACTCTTCAGAAGTGCTGGAGTTTTTTCTCTCAAGTGGATCCCAAGGAAAACTGCAACTAAGAACTCAAAATGATTTTGAGAAAGGTAAATGGGGTTGATCTCTTCCGTATGCTAGGCTAGAACTCTGCTTGAAGAGAAATTACAGCAGATGGTGTATTACACCATTAGTGTAAACCTACTCTGGGCTACCATGAAACTCCCCCCCCCCCCATCGTGAATAACTGCCCAAGTTTATAGGATGCCAAATCCTGTACCAGACACACTAGTAGCATCCACCTTTTTTTTTACAGTAAAATAGTGTGAATTGCTTACTGTTGCCTTAAATTCTCCTCCAAACCCACAGATTCTTTTACATATGCCCTGAAGATGATTAATGCAGGAAGTAGTACTGAACAGTTAATGACCTTGGCTAACTGAGGCTTACATTTTGCAAACAGAGTCACAAACTCAACAGGCAACTGGGATTTCCAGATGTAAACAGCTATGCTTGTGGTGTTAGTGAATATTTATTTTTGGCATGTGTCTGCTTTTTCTGTATTTTAGCCTATTAATCCCAAAACATTTATGGGGAACTGCTTGCAGATAACATCTTGGGTAATTTTATATTAGCCAGTTTTCTGCTCTGAAACAACTTGCTGAATTAAGCACAAATAAATCTCATGTAGGAAGCACAGCAAGCTGTCTTATAAAGAGTCAGGCCATTGGCCCGTCTAGCTCAGGACTGCCTACATTGATTGGCAGCGGTTCTGCAGGGTTTCAAACGGGCTACTCCCAGACCTATCTGGAGATGCCGGGGACTGAACCAAGGACCTTCTACATGCAAAGCAGATGCTCTTCCACTGAGGCATGGCCCCATCCCCAGAGTTCTCTTAAAAACCTGGATTAACTCTGTGGCTTTCTAAGGCACACTTGGCAGCATCTGCCATGCTCCAGTGGCTGTGTCCTTTTAAACAGTAACAGTCCCTTTAAATAGTTTGAACACATTGTTGTTGTTGTTGTTTAGTTGTGTCCGACTTTTCGTGACCCCATGGACCAGAGCACACCAGGCACTCCTGTCTTCCACTGCCTCCCGCAGTTTGGTCAAAATAGCCAAAGTTTTATACTGAGACAAAATAATTACAGTTGTATACATCTGTTTAGCTGTATACAATTTATTCCATTTGTCCTATTTGGATATTTCCTGAGAACAGAATTTTGCTGAAATCTGGCAAGGGACTATAATATTAGCAAACAGAGAAGGCAATGTCTGGAAATATGGTATAAAGTGTGCAACAGAAGGAATGAGGTGGTCTTTAAGCTACAGAACAGTTTGAAAAGAGGGCAGGGACTTTCCCCACTCTTATTCTTCCACAGCAGGAACTTCTCTCATTTCTGCCACATACATTAAATCAATCATCTGTTCTTCAAGCTAACGTTCCTCTATAGCTGCACCCCTGCCTGGAACAATTTCCCCATCATTTCAGTGGAGAAAGCCCAATTTCTCCACTGAATTCTACGATTCTATGAATGGCTCAGCTCCCTCTACTGACAGAATGGGAGCCCTAGGTCCTCATGAGACTCCCATCAGCACCTGAGTAGACAGGTATCACCTGCAACATTTTTCATATCCTTAAAAGCTAGAAATGGGGTTTTGTTTTTAAACAATGTCATAGGAAGTTAGCTTCTGCAATTGTCAGACTATGAAAGCCAGAAAGTTGGTTTTATCTCAGGAGCCAAATTCTGGAACACCATTTCTATTCTTGTAGGATAATATGCCAAAGCTTAACTTTTGGAGTGGATTCGAGAAAATGGATTTGAGTAAAAAAGAAAGAAAGAAGAAGATTGTCACGTGAGTGTACACACACACACACTGACCTCCCTTTTCTAAAACCCTCTTCTAAACCAAACAAGCACCTTGCCCAATCAACCATGAGGAGCATGAAGAGTTATATAAAGAAGATAATTATAAAGGGATTTAATGCTTGGCGAGCTCAAATTGCCAAGGCTTATGACAAAGGTAGCACACACGCTTGCTTAACTGGCCCAGTGCCCTGGCTTTGCTCTTATGTAAGCGACACAGCCGGAGCCGCATCCAAAATGAGATTTGTTTTATGGAAAAGAAGAGCGTGCCCCTTTGCTCTTGGGAACGGCAGCCGAGTCCCACCTCCCTCTAGTTTTGCTCCATTCCTGATTAATGATCTTGTCTGCCTGATTTATGACCCACCCTGACAGATTAGAGTTTCCTCTTCAACCGCCCCCCTTCCCCCCCCCAACCTCAGAAGGCACAGCCACACTCCGCTGGAAATATTAGAGAATTATTAAATAAACATTCATACGTCATGTCTCTTCCCAACCTGAGCTCATCCTAGTCAACACTCGGCAGCCCTGGCCTGTTTGCTTTTCATGCTGACAACAAACAGCTGGAGTGATTCATGGAGAGGCTGGCTACAATGTTTCATGTCATATATCATGCTAGCAGGGCTCCCTGCCCCAACAGAGATAAACTGATCAAGCACAACGGGCTGGAATGAATTTATGACAACACAAAATTGAGGAAAACAAATGGGAGGTGACCCAGTGGGGCACTAACCCAGACTCTTTCCTTGGCCTGCAATCTAGTTTGGTGGCAGAAAGCAAAATTGAACATTGGCACTCTGAATTAAGAGGCTGGCTTCTTAACCCCAGGAAGCCTTGATTTCAAGATGGCACCAGGCAACGTGGCTCGCATCTTCAGGGAGGAGAAAACGAGCCGTGGCCGAGTTTGCAGCCTACACACAGGTGGGCTAGTTTTAGCACCACTGCTAAGATTCAGGGAGGAGCAATGCAGGAGGGAGGGCCGAAATGACAGAAAAGGTTGGCTGATCTAAGCAGATACTACTGAAAGAAGGAAAACATAACATCAAGTCTTAAACTAATTTAAAAGCTGTTGTAGAGGAGGAGCAGCAGAATTGTTCCTAGGCAGGAATTGTTTCTGATGGCAGAATAAGATGCAGTGGCGTTAGATTCCAAGAGGAAAGGCTTAGGGCAGGGATTCCAAGCTGAAGTTCAAGAGCCACTAATAGTTCTTGAGTAGTATATTTTTCAGAAACTACAGGCCCAAATAATCCCAAAAGGCTTGGCTCCTGCTCCATCCCCCTCCAATCATATATTGGTGAAGCACATGTTTTGCATGCAAAATATCCCAGGTTCAATCCCTGGCATTCAGTCCAAAGCCCTAGGGTTGCTGGCTGAGTTAGATGGACGCCTGACTCAGTAGAAGGAAGCATCCCATATTAAAAATGAGATGGATGGGAGTTGGAATAGTGGGAGGAAGGAGAAGCATGTTGGCCTAGGAATGAATGGAGAGGCTATAGAGAAAGCTTGGGTGGAAAGGTGATGGTGGATGCCGTTGTGGAATGACAGAGAAGCACCAAAAAAGATTGGGAGAGCTGTTTGGAAGAAAAAACAGCAGGAAAGCTGGTGGCTTGCAGCTGCTTCATTTTACCTCTGTGCTACTTTATGGTCTCAAAGTTTCATATGCCAATGAATTGGGACAATTTTCCCAGTGGCAAGAATAGATGGGGGAAAACTGTTTGAGGAAGGATGAGACCCTGTTTACAAAGTATATGGCAGGATTATGGGTCAAAAAGCTTTCATCCATTATTATCAACTTTGCCAGATTAGTTCTGGATGAATGCTCGGAGGAATTAGCTCCTTTGGAGACACAGACTCCCTGTGGAGTTCTTCCACACAACCTCTATGTGCATTCACAAGGCCCCCAAGAAATGTTCCCCACTAGCCTCTTAACTTGAATCATAGAATCATATAATTGTAGAGTTGGAAGGGAATCTGAGGGTCATCTAGTTCAACCCCCTACAATGCAAGAATCTCAATTAAAGCACCCATGACAGATGGCCATCCAACCTCTTCTTAAAAACCTCCAAGGAAGGAGAGTCCACCACCTTCTGAGGGAGTCTGTTCCACTGTCAAACAGCTCTTACCACCACAAAGTACTTACTGATGTATAGTTGGACTCTCCTTTCCTATAACTTGAATCTATTAGTTTGGGTCCTATCATCTGGAGCAGGAGAAAACAAACTTGCCCCATCTTCCATGTGACAGCCTTTCCAGTCCACCAATACCCAAACCCCTCACAAAGCAGTCCCCCAGGAATTAACAAAAGAGGCAAAACACTTGCCTTACTACAAGGTTCAGCTATTCACAATAATTTGAGCATCTGCCCATCAAGATAGTAGTTGCTGCTACAGCATTCTGCTTCTGACTTGCTGGACTAGCTTGCAGTCATTACTGACTGACTAGACTGCCTGCTGGATTTCCTGAGTACAGAATAACTATTGTCAGGATGGCTAACTAGACTCTCCTTAAACTCTTGCATTCCCTAGCTGAGGCTTGGTTGCCCGTCCAGATGGCTGAGCCACACTTGCACCTGTACAGCAAGGTCTAGCAGCATGTAATAGATTCTCTGTGACTACAGAAGAAAGACTGATGTAAAGAGATGGAGAAAAATAAGGTGACTGAGAGGTGGATATAGGTGGCTTATGTATAAAATGTTTGGTGCTTTGTGAAGAGATTATTCTTAAAGGGGGAATTAAAGATCTATGAAACATATTAAATAATAAAATAAATACAGTTTAAAAAGCACACAAGACAGAATATTGAGTCCCAGGTTGCATGTTGTTCAGGAGCCAAGGTGGATCCCAGGCACTGAAAGGTTCTTGTTTTAAGCTTAGCAAAACCTGTACCAGATGCTCTTGTTGCATGTCTGCACTGGCTGTACAGCTCAGTAAACCCTTCCTAGCCCTGTTATTCTATCACTTCTGAATACATGCTGAAAGACTAGAAAAACCTGTTCGAACATCAACCAACAGTCACAACCAAAGCTGAATCCCACATGTTTTTCTACAGCTGAATATTTCATCCCACGTTGCTCTATTTAGTATCTTCTAGACTACAACCATTAGATATAAGCAATAGCCTCATTAAAAAAAAATCTAAAAATATATTACATTATATTACATATAGAAATCACCACATGCAGTTAAAGGGGGGAAAAGAGAGAAATCCTTGTTTTTTTTCTTGTCATAGCAGTCCAGTTCAGATGCAACAACAAATCACAATTTTCCATTTTGACTGATCTGGGCCAATAGCAGCTTTCATATCAAATTCAACCAAAAAACGAGATGAATGAGATACAAAGAAGAATCCATCAGCAAATACATTTCTCTTGAACTGAGGTAAGTTGCTTGGCATGCAAGTGATTCAGCTACAAGCAGCCTGAAGCACACATTCCATTAACTTTCAACCCAAGTACATTAGCTCTGCGCCCAAACAAGGACAGTTTACTGTATTGTATTAGCTAATTAAAAATATACGCTCCATGCCTAGACTTTGTTTTGGAAAGGGAAGAGAAAATGAATGTCATTCTTATAAAAGTAGGATCAATAAAGAGAATCACTGCTAACTCCATTAACCATTGTTCTAAATGGACAGCCCAGCTGACACAGGTGATAAACCATGTGCTTCTAAACACTTTTTAAAATGCTAATCAGACATTACATGGAGCTTAACACACTAATCAATAATGCCCAGATTTAAAAGCAAAAATTAAAGTTATGAACAGAAGGAAGTGATCCCATGGAGAGCTCACCACAATCACCACCCAAAACAAGAAAAATGAAACCAATTTAGCTCTAGATTAAGAACCAGGAACTGGAGATGAATCAATTTAGCTAGCTGGACTGGGTCACCATACATCATGGCTTGGCAGTGCAGGTGAAAGCAGCCAGACAGTAAGAATAAAAGAACACCTTCCTTTCTGCAAGCCCCAAGGTCTGATCCCACTTATCAATTAATTTAACAGAGCCCACCCCTTCACACACAACATTCTAGCTCCTTAACCATCACAACACAAACTATTTATCACACACAACTCCCGGAGGAGCAGGGACAGCACAGCTGGAACCTTTGCTTCTAAACATTTTGTTTTCTGTTCCCTTTGGAATTTAAGTCTCTAACTAAAAAGCAGTAACCCTTTACCACAAGGGATTTCTCATGAACCAAGAAATTGCTGTAAAGTGCAATAAATGGCATTTGGTTTTTACCTTCTTAAGAAAAGTAGCAGGCTGAGTATCCAAGTGTAATTTTTGACTTCTGAAGTCAGGAAGTTTTCAGGGCGCTCTACAATGGGTCCTAACTTGTCACAAAGAGGAGGGTGCCATACTTTACAACTCCGAATTATAGCATGCACCACCTTGGAAAGAATGTGGGGTCTGCCAAGAGACACCGAATAAAGCTTTTAAAATTATCTGATCAAGATGACATCAACTGATTGTTCTGGAAAATGTCAAACCTCTGCTTGGGAGGCCAGGATCCGAGGGGAATAAGTGTTGGTAACTAATGCTATTGACACAGACTGCTGAAGAAGACTGAATTCTCCTGTCTCCTAAATGGAAGGCAGTATCAAAAGATTGCTAAGCGATAGGTGAAAAAATGGCAACAAGCAACTAAATCCCTGCAAAGGAAGCTGGCATGCATTGGCAACTAACATTCATGCCTAATCAAATCATGAAATTCTCCTTTCACCCCTCTCTTGATTTCTGCCTCCAACGTCCTGAACAGCCTATAATCCTAGCTTTTAATTCCTAGGCACACAAATGCAGGAGGCTGAGGCAGGCAATATATTTCCTTCTGCATTTCATTTAAAATTGTAGCCCAATCTAGAGTGTTAATCTAGAAGAGCAGACATAGGGAACCAATGTCTCACCAGATGCTCTGGGACTACAACTTCCATCACCCCTGACCATTTGCCACCCCAGGTGGAAGTGATGGGAGTTAGGCGTAAAATAACATTTGGAGGGTCTCAGGATACCCATCTCTGCTTTGGACTACAATAACAGAGAATTCAACTCGACCCCCCCATCACCTTGTTCTGGTAGATAATTGCCCTGAGACTTTGGGCTTGTTCACACAAATCACTGGCTAATAATCCTGTATGCACTGTGGGACATCGGAAACATGGTGCAGTCGTCTAAGGAACTTGCATCTATAGTCTCATATTTTTGTTCTCATAACCTTAGCCTATTTCTATGCTTAAGACTTCAATTTTGTCTCTGCTAATCAGGAGCATACAAAAATGACATAGGATATTACTGCACATAGCATTGCCTTGCTGCAAGGAGACAGTGCAGCATCATGTATCGTCATTAGGCTTGCCCCTGCACTTTGGTGAAGCAAAAGATCCAGTCCCATGTGACTCATCCCCAATGGAAATGAAGGTTAAGATAAACTTATTCTTTTCCAGAGGCAGGCCATATCAAGTAAAGCTTCTGAAAAATAACACATCCCAAGGGAAGGAAAAGGGCAGCACTTTGATACTGTTGAGAATTTAACACAAGGGGAAGATTTGCCATCATCCCTCTAAAGCTGTAGAAACTACAATAGGGACTTAGAAACGAAATATAAAATCATCCTTCCACTTTTAGAGCCAACAAACAAAATGGATTTTCCTCTGTCCTACAGATGGGGAATTCCTATGAAGAATGAAAAACAAGCAAAAATGGGGGGAGGGACCTATCTGACTTTCAGCTAGGGGAGAGATAATACTGTGTGTGAGTTTAAAAGCTGGATATGTTTCGCATGAGAAACATGTGGAACTACACAAGGAAAGCCATAAGCAGCATGTCAGTGCTATAGTGATGCCCCTTTGATAGAAAGCTCCTGGCAGTCTCTTTTGCCTCCCTAACAAAGACAGACATTCCTGAGCCATACTCACTTTTCTATGTCACTATTCTTGCAGGTCTTTTGCATAGGCTCCTGTTTACTGCTCTCTCCGTTACTCGTTGATGGCATTTCTGCAAAAGTAAGGAAGAGCCCAGATCAGTGAAGGGAAATGTTTATTCACAAAAAGTCAGAGAAACCAAATAGTTAGTGAATTGTTCTAGTGCTGGTTCCCAAGAAGAAACTACCAATAACATGCTGGAGTGTCCAAGTGACAAGTACTGTTGTATCACTCAAGATGCATTCATGACTTGCCAAGTATGGCAGACCTGCAGAACTCATAGCCCACAAAGTAGTTCTGGAATTGATAGGGCCATGGATTACTCAAAGCAAATAATGAGGCTGGGATGCCAAATTATGACAAATTGCAGCAATCCATCAATTTCCTGCTTTACATTGGCAACTGTTCACCCAAAACCGAAGCACTCGGAATTACGAACAGTTTTCAAACCAGTTAGACACAAAGGATCCACTTCAACTTCCTTGAGCAATTCTCGTGAAATCGATTCGGTAAATGGCTTGTATGTGCAATTTGTTCTTTGTCAATGCTGTGAATTGCAGTTAGGATTCTGGAGGTTTTCTATTCAAGGGGTTTTCTGGAAGAAACATGTGTTTACAGGCCAGACAGGTTTACCCACACATAGGAATCAAAGTAACGCCATTTCTGCAGTCAGAAGAGGCAGAGAATTTTCTCACAAACCATTTGAAATCATGAGGGGAGGAGCACTGTTTCCAGAGGAAGAATTGTAAGAAGAGAGAGACTGTTTGCCATCAGGGGGCAGCTGGTTTTGATCTACAGGTGCAGTTGCTGCCTCACTTCCATCCCGAGGAATCTTCAGAAAGGAGTTGCTGCCAGGGGCATTATGTGTAGGTGTATTTTAATGTGCTGAATAGCGTGAAAGTCATGGGGTTGTGGAGAGTGTGTGTATAAACTTAAGTGTGCCTAGTTTATTTTTTTGTGTTGCTATTTTGTTAATGTTACTGTTTTACAGATTATAAATTCTGTATTAATTTTTAATCATATACTATGACTTTTGCTTTACCTGTGATGTTTAGCTTATTTTTTAGTTGTTGCTGTGTTAAGAGTGTTTTATAGATTATAATTGTTTCATTGATTATTTGATAATTGTTCTATATGATTTCTGCTTTATTTGTGATGTTCCATTATGTTCTACTATGTTGCTGTTATTTATTGTTTGTAAGCTGCTTTGGGATTCATTTGAATGAAAAGCAGCACAGAAATATAATAAATCAAAATCATTGCAGGACAGCTAGCATCGGAACTTCTCAGGAGTTTAACTGGAATTGAACTCTACTTGCACAGTATTGTCCCAATTCCTGAGCTAATTTCCATAGTAATAATATTTTATTCTTTACTACCATGGATAAAGAAAATGGTGTGAAATCACAAACAAGAATGTGGAATCACACAGAAAAAATCCCCAGAAGATAATGATCACCAAACTTATTTAAAATATCCCTCTACTCCAAATGCAGAATACTTCCTCCCCATCAATACATACTGCCTGAGAACTTCTAGCCATACTTTCTATTAGCACCCCATCTTTTTTTAACCTGTATGTAAATGTCACTTGTCAATAGTTCTAGCAACCAAGATGCAATATCAGAGAGAGAGAGAGTGGGATTTGGACTATGGACACCCTAGTCATCAAGCTCCTAGAAGTGCGATTTCTCTCAAAAACTGAACTATCTCACAGGGTTGAGAGAATAAAAATGGTGGGACTTCATGAACGCTGCCCTGTTTATGCCTTAAAATAAATATTTTACATTTCTTATGAAAAGTTTTATCTTGTTCTTCAGTCCACTGCTTCTAAGCAGTTACCAGAAAGAAAAGAAAACAATTCATATAAAGATCATGTATCTAAAATGCAGAATATGAACAGAAGCCAGATAAAAGTATTGCATTAAAAGGGTGAAAAACCAAAACACATGGAAAATTAAAAAGATATCTCAAAAGACACTGAAATTGCATCAGACCCAGAGCCAGATGAACCTTCTTGGGCAGGCATTTCAAAGTTAAAATCCCAGAACTGAAAAGGTCTTATCCACCTTACCTCTGAAGGCTTCTGAGAAATATATTAATGGCTGATCATATACAAAGAAACAAATACTGTGACACTGCCATGCATATCTATAGAAGGCAAAAAAGCAGGGGGCGGGATTTGCTATCTCAGAATGCATAATAACCTCAAACACAATTATGGTAATAAGTGGAAGAACTTTCATGTCTCTCAAATCATCCTCCAAACCAAGAGAAATAAGAATGCATTGCAGCCTAGTCACAGGCTTCAAAGCCAGAAAATCATATTCAAACTTCGTGTAACTTGGGTTATATTCCAGAACACTCTGGGGGCATTTAGAAGAAGTTTGGGATAGAAATGATGCACCATAATCTTCTCTGGGTGACTCCATAGTTTCAGGTTTTTTTCTATTGGAAAATGGAGGCAATAACCTGTCTCCATCTCCAGGAGCACAAATTAAACTGCTGCATGGATTCTCCTATCAAAACTCAAAAGCTGTTAACCACTCTACTTCAGATCTCTGGTGTTGGGCACACAGGAATAATAATACTCCCAATATGCTGAATACTAAAACTGCACCATAAAATACCGATTGTCACTATGCAAGCCAACCCAACAGATTGCCACATATATCTCTTACACTCACCGTCACTTGCCCACTTAGAAAATTCTGGTGTTATTCGGGTACTAGGCGTGCCACCACTGAAAAAGAGACAGCAGTGAAAATTTGTCCCAGGAAAAATCCCACAGCATGCATTTCTTCTCACCATTATTAGGAATGCTTATGTACATAGTATTTAAAGTTTGTCAATTGCCTTACAATTAATTTGTGTTTACTCTCACAACTGTGTTAAAGCAGGACACTATTGTTTTCATTTTACATATGGGAAACTGAGGAAAAAAATCTGTCCGCCCATGCAATGAATCCCTAGCAGAAGATGAACTTGAACAGAGGCCTTCCAGGCCCAGCCATAACTATGTACAGTGGTGCCTCGCAAGACGAAATTAATTCGTTCCGCAAGTTTTGTCGTCTTGCGATTTTTCCGTCTTGCGAAGCACGGTTTCCCATAGGAATGCATTGAAAATCAATTAATGCGTTCCTATGGAAACCGACTTCAGACCAGGTCCGGGGACAGTCTGTCCCCCGACCTCTTCTGAAGGCTGGGGGGGGGACCAAGGGCTTTTCTTCCCACCCCCAGCATTTTAAAAAACCCCGGGACAGCGGGGGACTTCTCCGCTGTCCCGGGGCGATTTAAAAGCCCCCGGGAAGGCAGGCAGGGGGGACAAAGACTTTTGCCCCCCGCCGGCCTTCAGAAGAGGTCCAGGACCTCTTCTGAAGGCCGGCGGGGGGCGAAAGTCTATGCTCCCCCCCGCCTGCCTTCAAAAGCCGTCCGGGACAGCGGAGAAACACGCTGCGTTTCTCCGCTCTCCCGGGAAGGCAGGCAGGGGGGAGCAAAGACTTTTGCCCCCCGTCGGCCTTCAAAAGCCGTCTGGGATAGTGGAGAAACGAAGGCTGGCGGCGGGAGGAGGTCTCTCCGCCCGCCGCCAGCCTTCGGAGGAGGTCCGAGGACAGTGGGGAAGACGCGCTGCGCTTCCCTGCTGTCCCGGAGATTTCCCTATGGGCTTTCATCTTGCAAAGGAAGCCCATAGGGAAATTCGTTTTGCGAAGCGCCTCCAAAACGGAAAACCCTTTCGTCTAGCGGGTTTTCCGTCTTGCGAGGCGTTCGTCTTGCAGGGCACCACTGTATCCACTGGAAGGGAGATAAGACATGTTCTAGTCAGTGCAGAATGCAGCTACTGCAATGGTGAGTTAAGAGTGGATTACACCAATGCTACATCTTTACTGACTCCTTGTCATCTTCTGCATGCAATTCAAGATCCTAGTTCTTGATTGATTTAAGCATTTACAGAACTTAGCCCACCTTTCATCTTCTGTTCTGTCACTTTCTTAAGATTTACCAAGAGTGCACCAAGACCTCCCTTTACTTGTGTCATCCACATGCTAAACTTTGAATAGCATGCAGAAATGCTTTCCGTAACTCACTATAAACTGTGGAAATTCCAACGAGACTCACTTATACTTTGAAATAGCAATTTTTCAGAAGCACTCAAGCAGACTTTAAATGGCTAAATTTAAGCATACCTAGAGATACTCTCACTGTTTTCATAATTTTAAATTACTGTTACTTTACTGTATTTTTAATATTTTGTTGGAAGCCGTCCAGAGTGGCTGGGAAAACCCAGCCAGATGGGTGGGGTATAAATAATAAATTATTATTACATTGCTGAAATTATTGCTACCACCTACTATGGGCTATAGGGATAGGGCAGGTTAACCATCAGAACTCCCCACTAACACCCTAGCATTTCTGCCTTCCTTTCAACATCAAATATTAGTCACTGTCAATTCAAATTACTGGAGGCAGAAATAGTATGAGGCAGATATGTGTTTCTATGAAGTGAAATCTGATTTCAGGCCACTGCTTGTAACAAGCTAAGCAGTAGGAAAACTTCATTTCACTGCTCTATCAATCTCTTCAACCCTGACCTCCAAGGCTCACTCAGCCTAAGAGACTGGAGCAATGTAAGTGCTGTTTCCACACAGGGCAGAGGGCTTGAAAAACCAATCCATTTCTTAGCTCTCTGTTAACACCCATTCAGTTATTTGCCTGAAATGCTTTCCAGAATCTTCCACACAAGGCCTGTGGAGAAGTCTAGCAGACAGCAGCCCAGAATACATAATCAACACTGCAAGGACCTTGAGATCCATTAAGGTGGTCAACTCCTAGACACTTATGGATCCTACCAGAATCCAGAATGATCTGGGGGATTTAGCTGCTTTTGCCAGTGGTTCAGTCACTGTAATTTGTAATTGCCAGAGTCTCTTGAAAAAACTACTCTTCAGTACCACCTTAACCAGTGGAAAAAGGCTTCCCTATCGTTTAATAAGATCTGGTCAAAGAGTGCTAGTAGTTTTTTAAAAAAATCAAAATTAATCCACTGAAAGGGAAGGGTCATAGTTCAGTGACAGAACACATTATTTACATGTAAAAGGTCCCTGACATTTGCAGGTAAGACCCCTATATGAGACCACAGACAGCCTCAAATATTTAATGTAGACTGACCTTCACCAACCTGGTACCCTTCAGTTTGTTTTGAACTACAACTCCCATCAGCTCCAGTCAGCATGGATGTGTTGACTGCACCTGATGGAAGTTGTAGAAAACATCTGCAAAGGCTGATGTGAATAATACTGAGCTAGATGGACCCATGATTGACTCAGTATACGGGTTTGATGTTCCTGCATTGCAGGGGTTTGGACTAGATGGTCCTTGTAGTCCCTTCAAACTCTACAATTCTATGATCTGTATGCACTTGTCTTACTTATTTCAAATGGGGCACAAGCATGCTTAACAGGGTTTCCAGCCCTTTTCCTTTCCTTATCCACAAAATGAAAAACTTTTGCACCCTGCCCTGTTGTCAAAAATACATAATGTGGGTCTTATAAAAAATCTAAATTGTACAAAGCCTATATTTCTCAACTGTAAATAAATAAGCTCATCAGTATTATACAAATCTACCTGATTTTCATATTTTTAATGGGCGAGCTGAGAGTTTTTCCCAGTGCACAATGCCCCATGTACGAGGTGCTATGTCCAGAGTCAGGATTTAATTTCTCAAAGAACAAGAACTACTACCTTTGGCATAAATGTGGCCAAGGAGTAGGGTGGGACTTTACTGCTGTGTTATATATCGGTAACCATTTTCTTTGCAAGTAGCTGCTTCCGAAGTTCTTCCTGCCTTGCATCTCACACTGCTATGAATAGGGATCTGCTTTGAGAAATGTCCTCACCGCCCACCCAGCACCATGAAGCATGTCCTGAACCACTCCCAGACAGTACTTTTAAAAGTCCACACTTACTTTAAGACTGCACCTCGAAGCGCCTCTCTCTCCTTGGCTTCACCTGGTTCTTCCCCAGTGCATGGAATGATATCTGCCTCTGTGTATCTAAGCATGGAGGGTTAAGGAGAGCACAGCCTGATGAATAAGAAGCTTTCACTGCTTATCCCAAGCCATCAAGGCAGAGCAGCCAAGAATTCCTTTGAGGGATGGGTAGGAACTGTTTGTAATCCAAGGGCCACATTTCCTTCTGGGTAACTTTTTCTGGGGCCCACATAGCAGTGGTGGGCAGGGGCAGATGCAAAATGGGCAGATCAATGAATGTGAATGGTACCTTTCCACACTAGGCTAGTTTCTACACACACACCATACAAATTCAATATAGTGCACCAATTAGAATGGCACCAGAAATTCTGAAGTACTAAAGAATGCATTTCAAAGACCACAAGGTTCCTTTCACCACTAGGAACGTGTAAACACAATAACAGCTGTTTGATAATAAGAACATGCTCATCTGAAAACAGCAGAGGAGGATATCATCTCTCCTCAGCAAGGAACCGGATGCTGGAACTGGTGAAATTACTACCCAGTTACTACCCAGTTGCTAACGGAGCAATTTCAGTGAACAGGCAACTTGTGGAATCCTCTCCTAACTGAATGAAAATGTATGAATGAATTAGGCAAGAGCAGCAAGAGTTTTAGTGGCACAGCAGAGCCACAGTCTCTTGGTGGGAGTTCAGCACCTCTAGAAAATGATACTGTGGCTTTCCATATTCCAGTGTGTCATCTCCATCCACATCAAGGTCAGCATCACTGTCTGGATTCTCCTTGCCGCTGCACATGACAAACCCGGACCCTGAAGGAAAAGAAAAGATGTGCAATGTGTCACCACAGGGCACAGATGAACAAAATGTGGCCTGGGCAAGTCTAGGGGAGGGGAAAGATGGCATGGGAGAGAGAAAGCAGTCTTTTAGCTCCATAGGTTTCCAGCAGTCACTTTCCTCCAGGCTCATTTTAGCTATGGTTTGATCCAGGCTATCTCCCTGTCTCAACTGTATGTAATACAATGGTAACACTGTAAAATTTCATAAGTATGAAGAGAGGTCACGATATATCTTGATCTATAAATCTCTTTCTCTATATAGAGAGACAGAGCGCGCTGGGGGAGCAAAGAGAATTGTGAGTCATGACACAGTCTGTCAGAGATAAACTGGACTGGGAACCAGCACTGCTCAGCAACAGAAAAAGTGTACTCAAGCCAAAAACTAGCAAGTCTGTGATTTATTAGGTTTGTGGCAAGCAGGAGGTGGTAAATGCATAGAAACATCCAATTAATATGGGAGATGAAAAACACACTCCAGGCTTGTATACCACAGAAGAATTCTATAGACTCCAAATGCAAAAATGGGGAAGTGAGAAATAAGGGTTCAATGCAGGCTTGATGGACCACACATAAACTGATATGTAAAGCAGAATACTTTTGTGTGCAGGAAGGAAACTGGTTCCAAACACTATCATCACTTCCGTCACGATCTTGACAATTTCATAAAACTGAATTCCTTGCCATCCCACCCCCACCCCACCCCGTGCCCGTGCACTGGGTTAGATCACATCACAAAGATTTTAATGAGCAGAGAGCCAAGGGGACAAAGATGTTGTTTACTGGAGGTGTTTCAAAAAAGGAGTATATTTAGTATTGAATGGACAGAAGCAAAAATCGAGTGATGTTGTAAGGAATATCCCCGTCTCAAATTACCAGAGGCACCCAATCCTAGTCATAAATCTGGCATCTAGACTTTATGCACAAATGCAAAATCCCTCCATCAACCTTTCATTCCTTTCAGTTGCACCAGCCCCTAAGTCTAATATTGCACTTGCCTGTACTCTTATGGGCAGTCAAAAATTCTGTGCTAGAAACCCAGATTCTGCACTCAGATAATTCAGTGTTATACAGCTCAAATGAAGGATTTAAAAGCAAAATTGTTTTGTTTACCCACTTTGGGCTGTAGTGTGGAACTTATTTTTCTACGAGTAAGTTTCTATTTCAACCTCTGAAAATGGAAGGGCTCCATTCCTCCTCTAGGAGGAAGAGGAGGGTGGCATATTTTGCAGATTTCCCCTTCACCTTTCAGAGCCCAGTGCCATCTCCCATGTTGTTTCAGATGGTCCCCTGAGCTTCCAGAGCAACTTTCCAGGAAGGGGGCATGTTTGGAAAGAAAAAAATCAGCAACCTCTCTCACTTTTGCTCTAGAATACTACTTTCAAAAGAAGTTAGCTCAGATATTTTCTGCCATTTTGCAATGGTAGTTGGATGCCATGTTTTCAAGACAACACACAATTTGGCAATACAGTTTATAGAGAAATCCTGGCTAGCTTTTGCACACCTCCATTTTGCCCACTGTGAAAAATGATAACTAAGGTTGCTAATGTTTGCTCCTGCAGACTTCCTGGGTTTTTGTTTTTCTTTAAAGATGTGCATGCACAGGAACTGAAATACCTGCAAAAATGCCCAGAACAGTAGTGGAGGGGGGGGGATGACTGACATAAGGGACAGAAAAACAGCCCAGATACTTTCCATCAAGTTCTACCCACTGGTGTAGAAAACGGAATAGCAATGAATATTCATGACTGAAAAAATGGAATTTGTGGAAACTTATCTGCTAAAACCCACACATAGAAAAACTGGATTTTTGTAACTTATTTATGTTGTAACACCCACATCTGGAAGTACCCCCAATTGCCCCAGATTTTGAAGCCTCCTCAGCAATGGTTTGTCTAACAAGTACCACCTTTTCAGTTTATTTAGATTTAAAACAGGACAGAGTTGCTAAAGACTGTGGTACTTTTCCATGGTTGCCCAAAGAGCGTGAGTGCTATTTCACACTGGTAGAGACAATGAGGTCACACAGATACTGGCCTGCAGTATGCCAGTATCAGGTATAATTTAGCTTGTAATTTCTGAAAAGCCCAGCCTCTAAACACACAAGCTTCTTTCTTTCCCACCATCTCTCAAATACAAAGCAGAAGTTATGGCCTGACCTGGGCTGTGATCTGAATGCCATCTATATTAAAGATGTAGAACAAGATTTGAGGCTGGAGGAAATCTTGAATAGAAATGAAACTCATCTCTGCTTTACTTCAGTAACAGAACTGATACAAAAATGGGGAGAAAGAAGCAGCTTTTAGGAAATCCAATTTCTTGTCCTATATGTCAAATTAAGCTATCATAACACAGTACAAGCAACAAAAGTTTACCATACAGAGACCAGAATCTCCTTTTCACAGTTGCATTTTTCTATATGTGCTCAGGAAGCTCAGTTCAAAGACTGCAAAGTAGAACAGAGAAGCCTATGATGCCACCAGAGTCCAAATTGTTATATGGAATGCTAGGGCTGCACCTTGAAGGAACCTAAAGTATGATCATAGTTTCATTTCAATCAGGCCAGAAAGTAAGTCCAAATGAGACAGTAAGTGGGCAAGGCTAACATGGGTTCCTGATAGGAGGAAGAGTCATAAGTAGAATTTTGATCAGATTTCTCTCTGCTGAAACTTTATTTTCTGAAATTCTTCTTAGAACCCAGTAAATCCTGGCAAATCCTGGCCCAATCTTGGTCTGCCAGGTTGTTTTCCCCAAGCTATGCTAACCTGCCCAACAAGTTAGTTGACTATAGCCCATAGTACTGTATTTAAGAGACTTAAAAATTGAAATGGGTGGCTGGCCAGAAATGGCCTTAGATATAGGGTGGGGGCAGGGAGAGAAGAGAAAAGGAAGGAAAGTAAACTATCATACTGACTTACAGAATCACTTGCAAGATTTGGTGATACCGCAGGATACTAGGGGAATGTTGTCACTACTTTATTTAACAAAATATACATACCACTTGATTGCAGCAAAACCTCTAAGCCCTTTACAAGAAGCCTAGAAGGGGTATATACATTTTGTTAAATACAATAATAAATTTTGCAACCAGAAAATGTAAATTAAGAAAATGTTGCATTACTCATTATGCTTAAAAGTTCTAGTCGCATATCTTTTTTCTTTCATACTTTGGAATGCTGTGCATGTATGCACATGAAATTTACTTACTGTAGTCAACACTGTTAGCACCCTAACTTTCTGTCCTCCAGTCAACTGACTTTGCCAGAGAAGGAAAATTAAGTCTGTAAAGCTTCTTATGCTTCAGCAGCAGAGCACAACAAAAGTGTTATGGGTGGCAGAAGTGGTCTGGAGTTCTCATTGTGTGGAACAAAACAAGTTCATGCATCTACAGGAAGACTTGATGCATAAGCAATCTATCTGCCAGCTTTAGAAAGTCATGGGTCTCTGCTCTACGCTGCAGTAACTGAGGGAGATTTACAGTGGTACCTCGGGTTACAGACGCTTCAGGTTACAGACTCCACTAACCCAGAAATAGTACTTCGGGTTAAGAACTTTGCTTCAGGATGAGAACAGAAATCAGCAGCAGTGGCGTGGCAGCAGTGGGAGGCCCCATTAGCTAAAATGGTACCTCAGGTTAAGAACAGTTTCAGGTTAAAAACGGACCTCCAGAAGGAATTAACCCGAGGTACCACTGTATTTATTTTTTAATTCCTGAGTTGCCACTGGGTAACATTATAGTATCTCCAGAATCTCAATAGTGACTCCTACATGGGTGACGCTACCTATAAAAAGGGACCCTGTGCCCAGCATAAGGATGGATATAGGGATGGTTCCAACAGGGTCAGGGCTTTTGTTACACTTTTGTGTCCCAACTCACTCACATTTTTTCACTGTACAGAGCCAGTGAAAACATGCCAGCAGCTGTTTAAATACTGGAGGTCTAAACCGATTTACATTAATTATTCATCCCAGGCTCATTCAAACCAGATTTCTGGACAAGAACCTTTATAAATGAATTAAATGGGGTTTATAAAAGCAAGACAACCCAATAGGATCATAGCTGCTATGTGTGCACATATGTGCATGCACACGTGCATATGAAGTGTAAAGATCTAAAAAACAACAACCACACTACTAGTCTTTGGCACAAGCACAATTCCACCCTGAGTGGGGAAAAGGACAGGAAGCCCAAGACAGAGAAGAATTCCAACAAAAATGCTTGAAGGCAATTCCATGACTTCCCTGCCCATAAGGCTAATGGTTCTAATATACCCAGGTGATTGCTTCCTTGAGGCAATGCATTTCAGGGAGACCAGACCTCTCCCTTGACATAATCATACTAGCTTTTAGGGTTCAAACTAATTTGTCCTCCATGTTTATGAATGCATATCCCTTTCTTAATTTGTAGGCTATTTGAGGAAAAGTCTGTACCCATATGAATTTGCCTGGGTCCTGCTTGTGAATCAGCCATTAAGATCTATTAATTGGTAGGCATCAGGGCCTTTCTGGTAATGGACTCATACTGCATAAGCCTCTCCTGCTGCCTTCCTGTCAATTCTTAATGTTATCAACGAAAGGGCAGTCCTACTCCTTGCTTCAAATTCTAACTGTAAAATAAAACAGAAAACCTTTGCTCTCAGACACTTCAAGCTTATTCCAGTCCTACCACCTTTTCACTTAGAAAGTAACCACTTATGTAGAGGAGAAAGCTGCAGGATGTGGGATTGTGCATGCATGCATCAATGAAATCCCCAAGCCTCACTCGTCTAGGCTAGCTCACTGCTTCCTCAGTTCCCTGGTCAGCCATAAGCAATCTCATCCTGAACACCACTGGCAACATTTCCCTTGTAGCAGCCAGAAAGCAATGAATTTTCAAGTCAGGACTTCAGGTGCGGGAGAGAGGAGGTGCATTTTTTTTAAAAAAAAATTGCACTGGTTCAGAGAGGATGGTTGGGCTCTGCTTGGGAAAGAGCACT